AGATGTGTATAAGAGACATACAGTCTATTGTATTTTGATTACTGAGACCAAGACGATTCGTTTGCCACCATTTGCACAATAAAACTCGCAAAACTCGATGTGTTATGATGTTTTAAATGGGTGGGGGTAACCTTTTGCGTCGGGCTGTAGTACAATGACTAACAACACTACCCAAGTAGTACAATGACTAACAACACTACCCAAGTAGTACAATGACTAATAAAATACCAAGTACTATTATGATTACTAACATAAATAGCTAAACTACACGCAATGGCCAATATACGTATCATCTGATATATTCTATACAATTTCTAGGTTTGTCGGTTTAGCTTCAAAAGTTCTGGGTGATCGCCTGACTGAGTTAGGTAGTTAACTAATTTCAATAGTTCGGCTTTTGATCATGTCTCGGGAGTTTTAGGTTATAGGTTATTTATTTATTTATTATTTATGTTATTTATTTATAATTTAGGTTATTTAGTTTTTGTACTCTTTTCTCTTTGGCGTTATCACTTGTGTTATGAGTAGAACATTGTGTTTCACCACTAAACGTTTCGTAACAACCGCACCAACCCCCCAGGCACCACTGTGACTCACTATCATCACACAGCCATTAAGTGCCTCACTATCATCACCACACATTAAGGCCCTCACTATCATCACCACACAGCCATTGAGTACCTCACTATCATCACCACACATTAAGGCCCTCACTTGGACACAGCGGCCAATTTTCCCAATAATGCTGAACATGATTATGAAGATTAGCTCATTAATAGGACACAGCGGCCAATTTTCCCAATAATGCTGAACATGATTATGAAGATTAGCTCGTTAATAGGACACAGCGGCCAATTTTCATCAATATTACCAATCAGCAATTATCGTTGCCTGCCACAGATGAAACTTAATGCATAGTCAGCATCAGCCTTCGTGCTAGCAAAAAAGCCCATTTTGGATAATAATAATTATAATAATAATAGCAGTTTCAGCGTTTATTAGGCCGTAGGCCTGTCGCCGAGTCTTAACATCGCAGAACATTAACAGCATTTTGCGGTCTCGAACTCGCAACTCACTGCTACAATTCTGCTGTGCTTAACCGCCCGGCCTCCTTTCCGATTCTGACCAGAAACTGGCGCACAGAGCTGGGATCGAACCCGCACCTCTCTGCGCCAATCTTGGCACTCTGAACTTTAACCACTGGGTTACTGTGTCATACTTTGAATCTCAGACCATGAAATATAGTTGTACTTAGTTATTTTAATCACTCGTATGGTAATCTGGTAATGCATAACGGTAACGGTAATGCATAATTAAGTACTACTAAAACCCGGATTTTTCCGCGCCATGGGTTCCAACAATACTCGGAATGAGCTAACTCCTGAGCTCCTCTCTGGTGGGTTGACTTCCACAAGTGTAGCCCCGTCTGATAACTTGCTGGCTGCGGCAGCCGCTACCGNAAAATCATTAAACATATTTTAAATTCATTAAATGCATTTTAAATTGATTGAACGCATTTCAAACGAGCAGGGTCGGGCGCGCCTGCTGTACGCTGCGGGCTACACTAACCTGCACAGCGTCGCTAACGCCGAGCCTGAGGCCATCGTGAGGGCGGTACACCACTTGCCCCTTGCTACCGCCGCGCACATCGTACTTAGTGCCAAGGTACGCATGGAACTAGTAGTTCTTAGTGCCAAGGTACTTACGGAACTAGTGGTTCTGACTACCTGAGTAGTTCTTAGTGCCAAGGTAGGTACGGCACTAGTGGTTCTGACTACCTGAGTACTGTGACTAGTAACACTACCCAAGTAGTACTATGACTAGTAACACTACCCAAGTAGTACTATGACTAATAACACTACCCGAGTAGTACTATGATTACTAAGATAAATAGCTTAAGTACACCTAGTGGCCAATATACGTATCATCTTATATATTCTATAAAATTTCTCGCTTGGTTGGTTTAGCTTCAAAAGTTGTGGGTGATCGCCTGATTAAGTTAATTAACTAATTTTAATAATAAGGCTTTTGATCATGTCTCGGGAGTTTTAGGTTATAGGTTATTTAGTTATATATTATTTAGGTTATTTATTTATTATTGAGGTTATTTATTTATTATTTATGTTATTTATTTATTATTTAGGTTATTTTGTTTATGTACTCTTTTCTCTTTGGCGTTATCACTTGTGTTATGAGTAGAACATTGTGTTTCACCACTAAAGGTTTCGTAATAAACGCACCAACCCCTCAGGCACCACTGTAACTCACTATCATCACCACACAGCCATTGAGTGTCTCACTATCATCACCACACAACCATTAAGGCCCTCACTATCATCACCACACAACCATTAAGGCCCTCACTATCATCACCACACAACCATTAAGTACCTCAATATCATCATCCTACAGGAATGGATAGCAAATACGATAAAATACGATTATTTTATCTCACTATCATCACCACACAACCATTGAGTGCCTCACTATCATCACCACACATTAAGGCCCTCACTATCATCACCATACAGGCGGTGCTGCTGGAGAAGGCCGAGGCGCTGCAGGAGGAGGCCGAGCAAGTTCTCTTGGGTCTCACCGATTTCTCCCACCCCGGTAGTTCTTCTTCTTCTGTGTTTTAATGGAAGATTTTTCGCTCTTTGATATTTTCTTGTTAGGCAACGAAAAAAACTTATTTGTACTTTCATGCTTTCATGAGTGTTTTTTGGTTCGATTCGTCTGGCTGCCATTTTTCAAGTCGTACATAAAAAATTCGGCTCGAATTGGTCGCTGGCCATAGTAACCTAAACGCTTAGGTTTGAATGTCAACTTTTGATTGGTCGATGTATAAGCGAAGAACGCTTGGATTGGCCATTTGTCTTCTTTGCAAGAATACAGATATTTTATTTTACTTTTTTTTTTGCACGTTCAAGCAATGCAATTCAAGTGCAGGAAATGAATTGCGATTTAGAGTTTGGAATTTGTATGACAAGGAGTGTGAATCGCAAGTGATCCATTTCATTTTTTTATTGCGATGCCGGTAGCATTTTATCATAATGTTGCTCTGACTGCACTATACAGCTCATCTAATCGGAGTAACAGTGGCAGGAAATTGTGAAGCTCCTGATAAATGTGATATGTTTCGTAGGAAATATTAATCTGAGCTGAAAGTTACTACTAGGCATTTTGTAATGTTTATTGGAAAAGTCAAAAAATTATTTTCGCAAGTTATTGGTAAATTAAAAAAGTGGCTTAACATGCAATTCTATAACTGCGACTGCTTTGCATCCTTTTCTTGAGTTTGCTGAAAATAATTCATATGCAATCTATCCGGCCATCGGCACGTTGGACTCAGTACATCAAAGCGAAATTTGTTTGCATTTGGGGAATTTAGAATAAAGGTTCACCGAAATTTAGAAATGGTTTACCGAAAAGGTGACCTTTACCCCAATTTCGAGAGTTGGCACTTGAATGGACATGGATGAGGAATATGGATAAATGTTTTATATTACAGACTAGTTTTCCTTAGGCTAGTGGAAAGTAAACTTTGATTTCGAACGCTGTTTGTCTGCTCCGCACTTCTGCAGCTGTGATTCCATGTTTTTCCTTCAGATCTTGTAGTACCCTTGCGAGAATAGGGTAAAAAGTACTATTCTTATTCCAAACGCGTTATTTTATTGAGCAAAAAAGTAGTGATCAACGAGGTTACAGGACCTATAAAATAGGTATTTTTTGGAAGTAAGATTTTTATACTTCCGTCATGATGTGTTCTGTCAAGTTTATATCGTGGATATAATCACCGAATTATCATTCCAAATCTCTATTCTAACTTCTAATCTCATGTTGTGTTACAATAGGACATTAAACGTTTGCTGACTGTGATATCAGATTAAGGTACGTATTTTTACACTCGATAAATCTGGACATCAGTGGTAGAAGAAGTGTCTTGGATTTACGTATCATTGATTTTGTATCTGTTTCTCTGTGGTCTGTGTTTACATTTATCTTAATGAAGTCTTCATCTCTGTTGGCATTTGTGTATGTGTATTCATCTTGTATATAAATGTGTTCTCTGTATTTGTGTTGATTGTAACTGTGTTCGTTGTATATTCCACAGGAAACTCTTATTAAACTCTCATGAACTGATGCGCTTCTCGTTTTAATTCCACTATCTACAAGTACGAAAATTTGCAGAAAAAAAGATCAATTCAGTCAAATTTACATAATTATCAAAGATTATACCAATTATATTTGATTACTTTCCTCGTGGATAAAAATCTACTTTTTATTCATATGTTGTAAATGTGATATGTACCGGTAAATTGAGCACCATATTGAAAAATCCAGGCAAATAATTAACATTAATAGAGGTAATTAATATTAATTATTAAATATTGAATCATTGACTAATAATATCATTAATTATTATTATTCATTATTGAGGGCGCTAAGTTGAAGGCTGTAAAGGCAGGGCAAAAGGGCGGCAGTCAAGAAGTTCATTTTTCCTATTTATTATCCTCGTTTTTTATTTATTATATAAAACTAGGGATATTATATATATCCCTTTCATGAGCGTTGTTCTGCCGCCCCAGGGGCCTAGCCACCCCTCCCTTATACTGAGCCTTGGGTGCATCGTAAAATTTATCCATTGTAGCTTTCTTTTTAGCGCATTTTTTCATTTATGTAAAAAATGCACTATTGTGCTTGCAATGTCCGTCCGTCTGTCTGTCCGGCTGTCCGTCCGTGACTTCACGTTGTCGTCGACGAGAAAATGCGCTCTCTGTCACTCACTGCAGTGAGTACTGAGTTATTTTTTGAGCTTCATGTTATTATTTGATATTCAAGAGATAACAACAATCTTAACCTCGGATACCAAATGAACGGAAAGACGGTTTGCTGATTTCCGTTGTCAGTCCGCCTGCCGCGTTCAATCTTTGATTTACTTTATTTTTATTGATAAATTTGCCTTAATATACGAGTGCAGTTTTTTTAATAAGTCGCATTTAGATAGAACGTAGCGAATATATAGGTATAGCATTGGCCCCACTAGAAATTCTGCGGAACGATTGCGTGAAAAAACTTGTATCGGTTTTAAGAATGATTGAAGTCTCCATCGCAGGTTGGCCAAAACAAAGCTGAAATCTATCAGCTACTCTCAATTCAGGTTTTGAAATTAGCCTACAAAATTCGGATTGTACGTAGAACAGAAACTAGTTAAGCGATTACCGTCGAGCAAACGAATAAAGCTAACTTTGATGTGTCTTGTAGTTTTTGATTGACGTTAATTTGGACATAATATTAAAAATCCTTCTAAAATATAGGCAAATTATTTGCGAGTGTGTTGCATGTATCTTTCCTTTAACTTAATGGTGTTCAACCCAAAAGGCTTATATCGGCGTCGAAGAAAAAGTTTATTCGTTAAATAGAATACGTAAAAGTTGCTTGACCATTGACTTAAGCTTCTAGTAACACTTTTTATGTGATATTCGCAAATAAGCGAATGATGAAAATTCTATTCAATATCTGTATTCAAAAATCTTTTAAATTTTTCTTGATGACTGCACTCCGTTGCGCGGAACAACGAGGGGAAAGTGACTATCTTCCTCGACATTAATATCTTTATACGTATTTCTTCTAATCGTAAAGTCTTGAATATCCTGAAATATCTCCCCAACACCCCTCAGGGGGGACTTCTGACGGGTGTCTGTGCTCGTCAGAAGTCCTATGGGATTTCGCGCTCCTAGGGGGATTGTTCCTGAGCGCCTCACCGCTGAGCTCACGGTGTCTGACTGCAAGTCTCAGTTGTGGGGTTAAGTTATTATGTAGGTAGGATACCTTACATTAAGCTATTATGTAGGTAGGATACCTTACATTAAGTTATTATGTAGGTAGGATTCCTTACATTAAGTTATTATGTCGGTAGGATATCCTACATTAGGTTATTATGTAGGTAGGATACCTTACATTAAGTTATTATGTAGGTAGGATTCCTTACATTAAGTTATTATGTAGGTAGGATTCCTTACATTAAGTTGACCCATTACCGTCCCACGTGCATCTCGTGCAAGTAAGACATGACCCATTACCGTCCCACGTGCGTCTCGTGCAAGTAAGACATGACCCATTACCGTCCCACGTGCATCTCGTGCAAGAATTGTCACCTAACCGTTCCCAAAATACCGCTCGTTACTTGTGCCCATTACTGGTCAAATCACTTTTCAGCAGTTAAATACGAGGCATAAATTTATCAAGCCACGGATAAATTTATTAAATTAGTTTATTATTAAATTATAACGGCTGCAGGATAAATTTATTATCCTGCAGCCGGTAATCGTTCGTTAATCGGATGATCTTTGTTACAGCCGCCCAGCGTCAGCGTGCTGGTGCTGTGCAGTGGACAGCTCTGCACTGCAAGACGTGCGGTGCAAGGTGCTGGTGCTGCAGCATCCGCACGAGGAGAAGCGGTGCTTACGCACTGCACCCATGCTGCAGCACGCACTGCCTCACTGCACCGTGCTCAAGGGTGAGTCACTGCACCCATGCTGCAGCATGCACTGCCTCACTGCACCGTGCTCAAGGGTGAGTCACTGCACCCATGCTGCAGCACGCACTGCCTCACTGCACCGTGCTCAAGGGTGAGTTACTCGCGCGCTTCATTCCATTTTTATGACAAAGCAATCCAATTATAAAATATTTTTTGTTTCTTAGTGAATTTTGCTATTGTCATTTTAATTAATTTCTGTAATGAGTGCGTGCGAAAGTATAGCATGATAGTTATAGTTTAATATTATTTTTATTCACGGCGATTATTTGTACAAAGTATTTAACATATTTCAGGGAAGAAGTTCAGCCGTGACGAGGTGCCCGAGCTGACGTGCGCGGACAGCATCGTCCTGTTTCACCAGCAGGTAGTGGTGCGTAGTGATGTAGTGAGCCACTACGTGATCAGGACGCAGCCCAGCGACGCCGCCGTCAGTACCGTCGAGTGCGCGGCGCTCGCCCTCGCCGCCCTCGAGGGTCGCCCTCACATCTACACCGCCCTCGTGCGCCCCCTCACTGCCCTCTGCCAGCACCAGGTGCTTCTTATTACTTTTATGTCATGAATTACTTGCCTTGTTACTGAGAGAGAAATTTTATTTAATTTTGAACTCAATATGATTGTTGGTCTTATCACAAAGTCGCGATATTAATAATAATTATTATTATTATTTTGAACTCAATATGACCTTTGGTCTTATCACGAAGTCGCGATATTAATAATACCCTAATAATAATTATTATTATTTTGAACTGTATATGACTGTTGGTCTTATCACGAAGCCGCGATGTTAATAATAATAATAATAAAAATGATAATAATAACAATACTAATACTACTACTAGTACTACTACCGTACTGCTACTACTACTAATAATAATAATATTAATAATTATAATAATAATAACACCGTCCACGTGGCAGTTGTCCCACGGGGCTGTGGTGCACGAGAGCAAGGAGCGGCGCTACAGACTCGCCCCCGTCCCCTGCCTCGGCAAGCGCACGGCCAAGACCCTCGCTCAGTGTGGGGCCCACGTCGCCGCCCTAGGGGCAGGCCTGGCTGATGGGGCCAAGGGCGGGCGTGATGGGTGCATAGGCGAAGATGATAGGGCCAAGGGTGGGAATGATTGGGCCAAGGATGTGGATGATGGGTGCAGGGACATGAATGATGAGTCCAAGGGTGTGGATGATAGGTGCATAGGCGCGGATGATAGGGCCAAGGGTGGGAATGATGGAGCTCTGATGGGCTCTTATCTTGCTGATGGGGCCAAGGGGGCGGATGATGGGTGGAGAGACATGGATGATGGGGCCAAGAGTGGGAATGCTGGGGCTGAGGGTGCGGATGATAGGTGTAGGAACATAGATGATCGTTCCAAGTGTGTGGATGACGGCCACACTTTTATCAGTGATAGCGGCGAAGCTCCGGAAGATGACGTTGGGAACGACGTCACTCAAAGCGACGCGGTTTGTGGTGAACCTGCAAGTTGTCAAATACCACAAACTTGCATCTCTCCTATGAATGAACGCGAAAATAATCGATTTAAAGGCTCAGGGGACAGTGCCTGTAATGTTAACCCAATAATGTCTGCTGAAAAACCTGAAGATGTTCAAAATGTCTTGCATGTTGATATGTCTCTGACTATGAGCAAGAATCAGACCGAACTTTTTCGTGGAACAAGTGATGAACCATCAGACCTTCTCGAAAAATCTCAGGACGGAGCGTGTCGTAGATGACGTGAAATGACGTGTGATATTCTCGATATGTTTTGTATGAGTTATTAGCCGTACAGCATTCAACTTTTTTGTGAGTTCTGCAACCCGAAAATCTGACATTGAAAATATTCTGACGTTGCGCAACCCAAGTGACGTCGGAATTATTGCAAGTTCTTTATAATTTTTCCAATGATGGCCAGATATACGTAGTATTCTTTTGTATTCTTATTATTCTCAAGCTCGTTATGGTTTTTAGAAAGGAGTAATGTTTTTTTGCTGATGTATGTTAGATTTTGCTGTGAAATCATTATCACCTTAAGCCGCAAAAGATATTTTGTTACCCACGATACGAATCTTATAACCTCAAGTTTGGAAGCAACTGTCGCGACAAAAAGGAAATAGATTCATATTATGTTCATTACGTACTAAACTAAACAATAGTTCGTGCATTGTATGGTCAATACCAATTGTTTGTGTTGTCTGCCTCAATAATTTAATTTTACTTAATTATTGTTTTCATACAAAATCTTATTACAACATATACAGTATGGGTAGCCCTCGTTGCTTGCTCTCCTGAAGTTGTTGATTTGAGACCGATGTGTGATTGTCTTGCTGGATAAATACTATTTATGCGGCTAGATATGTGGTCCAACTGATATTCATGATGTAATATGTTCGGAATGAGCTAACTCCTGAGCTCCTCTCTGGTGGGTTGACTTCCACAAGTGTAGCCCCGTCTGATAACTTGCTGGCTGCGGCAGCCGCTACCGAGGACTCTCGAGCTAACTTGGAACTGCTCAAGTTTCCAAGTTTCTTCAGTCCTGTATTTGCATTAAGATGCTAAAGTTGCAGGCTGCTGCTCTCATATCAAGTCTGTTAGACCGCCATGCTCTCTGTAAGCTCCGGACAAGCTATTGCTTACACAATTTGGGAGTGTCGCAGGGCTTGCAGTTTTTAGCGCATTTTCTCATTTATGAAAAAATGCACTATTGTGCTCGCCATATCCGTCTGCCTGTCCGCCTGTCTGTCCGTCCGTGACTTCACGTTTTCGTCGACGAGAAAATGCGCTCTCTGTCACTCATTGCAGTGAGTACTGAGTTATATTTTTTATCATTACAGATTGGTCACAATATTAACGTGCGTACTGTTAATTTAGACATGAATGATTTCAAAATGATAATATTCAGTATATCTTACATTTGTCTCAACCAGTAACTTCTCCAACTCAATTACAGGGGCAAAATAAAAAGAAGTTTGAAACGATTTTTCGTAGCTTCATTAAACCGGAAATTGCAATAATTTGAAATACGTCGTAGAATGCGATGAAAATTGCTGCTCATCCTAACAACGGAGAAGGACAGAAAATATTACTCGTGTGACCTTGATGAACTGTGTGTGTGTATGATGGATGAGTGAGAACTATGTAGGGCATTATATGTGAGCTGGATGTGTGAGCATCCTCTATATGAGCTGAATGCGTGTGAACTATGCACAAGCATTATATGTGAGCTGGATGTGTGATCTGAATGCGTGAGAACTATATATGAGCATCATATGTGAGCTGGATGTGTGATCTGAATGCGTGAGAACTATATATATGCATCATATATGAGCTGGATGTGTGAGCTGAATGCGTGTGAACTATATATGAGCGTCATACTGTACATGAGCTGGATGTGTGAGCTGTAAGATCACATACATTAACCGTAGCTCTCATGATGACCTCTCTCTCTTTAGTCATCCAAATTATGACCGATGTTGTCAATAAGGACCGATGTTTAACGAATAATGTTATCATTAAGTTATGCAGAGTACAAATACGAGTGGAAATATTTGTTCGACGATCGAGAACAGAACTACGGGCAAGATATTCGCCTATTGATTGCAACCAATTCTCAAGATATTACGAAGGTTATTATTTTGAGCAGCTCTATGTTTTTTACACGATAAGTATATATTAAGCCTTGCGAACACAAGCGTTCAAGAACTCTACAATGCTGACGCGAAGCACCGCTATTGTTGAGACGCAATATCGCTGGATTAGCGCAACAAAACCCAGTTTAATGAAGAACTTCAGGCAATACCGGCTTGCATTATGAACGGTCTTGCTGATGCTTTGCTACTGTTTTGAAACTAGTGTTTTAATTTGAATAAATACTTTAGATTATCTATAGTCTATACAATGGAGCATCTCATTATTGTTTATTACAATGGATTTGAACAGATATCAATGAACACTTAATAGCGCATATTAAATTTTTCCATACAAAAGTAAGATATAAAAATATAACTCAGTACTCACTGCAGTGAGTGACAGAGAGCGAATTTTCTCGTCGACGAAAACTTGAGGTCACGGACAGACGGACGGACAGACAGACGGACGGACGGATATGGCTAGCACAATAGTGCATTTTTTCCATAAATGAGAAAATGCGCTGAAAATGGCATGTTTAAAAGTTACATATTTAATTGTTGCGTATAACTATTTCATGTAATATGCAGATCTAAGTTAAACTCTTAATGAATACGCCTAACATCTATACATTTCCGAATTAATCGCTGGTTGAAAATATTTAAATAATATACGCTTAAAAGGAATAATTTCAATTAGTATGTTGTTAATTATTTAATAATCTTCATTACCCGATTTGAAACCAATTTAAGGGAAGTGCACTTTGATAAAACATCATCAAGAAATTGCAGCCCATTTGGACATGCATTGCAGCCAGATTTCCCAGAAATTGCAGCCCAATGTCACTTATATCTCTGAGTGAAAGCTCAAAATTATATATAATTATCAGTGTTTGGTCCGGTGTGAAGACTTCACCAATCTTGCCTGATTGTCTAATTCTCTAGGAAAATACTTGATCTAAAAATTTTTCGGTATGAAGAGACAATAATTTTCATATTTGAGAATCATTTCAAACAAATGGCTTATGAATAAAATTATTTTTATTTCTAACAAGGCAGATTTTTGCTGTACGAATGACGACAATATTAGCTCGTATTATTGAAGTAAGCCTGAGCTGAAGCTGTTGTGTCATTAAGCCCGGTCTGCCTCGTATGCCTAATGTCATATTAAGTTAACCCCCGCCAGCGACTTCCTAAACTAATGAGTTCTAGATTAATTCAACTCGCCATCTGTAGACTCATTAATCTTTGCACTCAAATTAGGGATTGCGTGTGTTACGTTTGCTAGTCGTATGACTTCTAAGTCCAAGCTAGCTAAGGAGGAAGATGGTCAGAGACGAGACTATAGGTTTGGGGAACTGTATTTGGTAGAATCTGGTTTACAACTGAAGGACTAAGGCTTGCTGGCCTTACATGACCTACTATTGACACTATATAGTAGTTCTACTCTAATTTGATCAATACGTAAACACGTAACAGCGTGGGCATCTCAGAGTCTGTCTCATCTTTGTCTAAACAACGAAGCACTTTGGCTCTCATACATGTGGGTCATCCAGACCCAGTTTAGCTCGAAAAAATTTAACTCAGTAATCACTGCAGTGAGCGACAGAGAGAGCATTTTATCGACGACGAAAACTTGAAGTCACGGAACATACGGACAGACAGACGGACGGACGGATGGACATGACGAGCACAATAGCGCCTTTTTTTCCATAAATGAGAAATTGTGCTAAAAATTACGTACAAATCAGTGCTACACGCAGCAATTGTGTGTCACTATTCGGACAATATGACCAATTTAGTTTTCTGAGTGTGGTGATCATCACCGATAGCTATTTATTTGGAAGTAAGAATAATAATATTGTTGGCAATGGCCCGTATTTTTTGCAATTGCATAATTAATTGAAAGAATGGTATCTTGAACAATGTGACAAATAAGCATGAACATGCATGTCATCATTGATAATAAATTGTTTATTCTTTATGATTAATGCAGGAGCGATAGTATTTATGAACTTTACATTGATGAACGATTTAGTAGTTTTCAGCCATCTTCAATAAAGACGTTCCTTACATTGTGCATACGCCAACACTATTTTACTGCCACTAATATTTAAAAACGTCTTATTAACTAATTTTCTAGCAAATATTTTAAGCTTAATCATTTGAACAGAAGCTGCCGCAATATACAGTATTTGGTACGCGTACTGGTGTCAGCAAACGGACGTGATACGTTTTAATTATGTTTTCTTCAACCTTCTTTATTCTTATGCATTATTACACACATTTTTACGTGATACTTTTTCTTTTCCTCACATTTTAATTTATTTAGCTAGTATTCAAGCAGCACCAATGATTACACTCTTCAGATCCCTCGTGCTCCCCAATCTTGAGTATTGCTGCCAGCTTTGGTCGCCACTCAAGGCGGGTGCGGTGCGGAAACTGGAGGCAGTGCAGCGTACCTTCACGTACAGGATCAGCGGCATGAGGGAGCTGAACCTGAACTACTGGGGAAGGCTGAAACACCTGGAACTGTACTCACTGGAGAGAAGAAGGGAAAGGTATATCATACTGTACACTTGGAAGATGATAAACGGACTGGCTCCCAACTTTGAGAGTGAGACCTCCAAAATAAGGACATATTACAACGAAAGAAGGGGGAGACTGTGCAGGATTCCCCCATTTAATAACCGAGCCGCGGCCAGAGTACAGACTCTTCGTGAGGGATCACTGTAGATGTGTATAAGAGACAGCTTTAATGCCTTGCCAAAAGAGCTGAGAGGAGGGGAGTTTACCCTTGCAACATTCAAGAGACAACTGGACAAGTGGTTGAGCAAGATCCCGGACTGTCCAGTTATGGGAAACTACCATCAGCAAGCGACAAGCAACAGCATCTTGCATCAACTTGCCCAAATGAGGGCTAATAGACGGAACACGTTCAACGTTACATCCGACGACGACTCGGAGACGGAGGACGACGAAGGCGGCGCATCAGCGTGACCGTGGACTGCGACGTCCTAAACTCATCATAAGGTCATAAGGTCATAAGATAAGAAATTTCGGTTTCCTAAGTTATAAAGAAGTTCGATTTCAGTCCTGATAAGAAAGTTCGATTTCTGTAGTGAAAATAAAGTACGATTTCCGAGGAGATGATGAAGTTAATAATATTCACCGTTACAATTCAAATTTCAGCATTGATGGCAATTTAGATTTCCACGCAGATAAGAAAGTTTTGCACTGATAAGGAAGTTCGGCACTGATAAAGAAATTTCGCAACGATAAAGATCGTTCGATGCAATTATAAAGACCGTTCGATTTCCAATGATAAGGCAGAATTTTGCACTGATAAGGCAGGCAGTAAGAGATTACAGAGGCACCCATCGGCCGCTGGCTCTGTCCCTGCACCAGAGATTTATGTTCGTCAGAGACGCTGAGTCGCCATCCAAAAATTCTGAAACGCAAAGAACGAATCCAAGTGGAAACTAATTGGTTAATCATTTCTAAACCTTTAAATAAATAATCGTTACGAATCACCGACATTGAGGAAACTATTAAACTAATAAAAGGCTCTGGACGAACTTGGCATCAAAACTTTCTGACTTTTAAACTAAACTTTGTGTGGAAAGTGAATTCGCATCCGCTAGCGAAATAATAAAAGTGGTTCACTAATTAATGTACGGTGGGTAAATGGACTAACCACGGGGCAAGCAAAAAAGATGGATGAACCTTGCACTGAGCTTTCGGACGTGATTTATGAAAGAAACTGAAAGATTCATAATATTCTGATTCATTCGTGATTCTCTCAACGTAATGCGAGCAATCGGGATATATTTTATATTGGATATTATACATATATATGTATAACATGGTTCACCTAGCCACTATATTATTTGTTTGTGAAAGTTTGTATTCGAAGATACCAGTATCCATAAATTGCTTACTGCGAGGGAATAATTAAACGTTTACTTAAACGTGTTCTTAAACATATTAACTGATTCGATTGAATGAAACCTGCAACAAAAAAAATTATAAATAAAAAAACTAAAAATAGGTGTAACCCTCAAATTAACGTTCTCTTAATAACGTGGAATATCAAAAGAAATAAAGAGGCTTCAAAGAGAAGAAGTAAAAAGAGACACCACAATGAGATGAGAAATGAAGAAGGAAAAGGAATTTTTGCAGTTAGTTTTGAAGAAAACCTTCATTACCACACCTCAGTAAACCTTGCAGCGGCTACCACAAACACATTCAACAATCTCAACGTAAAAATGTCATCAACAAAGATATTATGAGCCAAAAATATTTTGTATCTAAAATTTTTCAATTTTACAATCAGGTTAGTAATCTTTAACATGAAATTTCGTATTGCAGGCTATTGAGAAAATTGGATAAAACGATCTTGACATATAGGAATTTCTGGGATAGCTTTTTAAATTGGTATGAACCAAAATATTCGGAGTTATTTCGTTTTGTGGGTTCAAAAAGAGGAAAACATTTGACATACACAAGATTAGAATCTGGATATGTTGCCCAGATTAATGCTTTTTAGTTCAATGGAAATTTTTAATTGAGTCAGCTGCTAAACTGTAGGTATTAAGGATAATTTTTTGTGGCCGTCTCTTGTAAAAATTTTCGCGAATATCAATAAATGAAATAAATACATTGCTTTTAAGAAGTGGGATATGATAATATCTTTGATGATTAAGTAGTTCGGGGTTAAATTGAACTTTGCCTTTGAAAAAACAAACAATCATTCAATTAAAGCATTCGGAAGTTGGACAAGAATTTCATGAACACATTCTATATCACAAAATATGTCATTCAATAATATTGTTGCATTAATTTTTCATCCTGTTGACATATCAAGATCACAACCAAAGAGTCTAACGCTAGACAATAAAGAAAGAACTGATAAAAGTCATACAGAACATTTGTCACTTTTGTAAATCAGGCAACTAATTCTCTGCTGATTTTACTGATACTGAGAATTTTACTGATAACTTGGCAGATTCAGAATATACCTTTTCAGAATAATAATTTCTTTTCAAGGGAAATAAATCGTTAACGAGCGATTAAAAAAAGAATTTCTATCTAATGTGGAGATTTATATAGGAGTCGATTCATTTGAATGGCAGACCAACTGCGGAAAATTTGAACACTCATCGAATATGAACTAAAATTCCTACTTGAAGAAATGTACGTCTGATATTTGGGATAAACAAAACGGCGAAAACAAAACTGTGGATAATCTCCCTGCCACTTATCTCACCCAATACTTGCACAGTACATAATGAGACTAATTAAATAACCGACCATAGAATTAAATAGATTTCATGTGTTCAGTTAATGAGATGCTCCCATCAACTGACTCCTAATATTAATGGGTTAATCCAATTAACTGATTAATTGCTTGTGACCTCAAATAGGTAGTTCTGAAGTTCATGGGTTCGCGATCACCCTAATGAAAACATTCTATTCCGTTTTGAATGCATAAATCAACATGTGATTTCAATATATGTGTTATATTGCCTAGTCGTTAATAGCAAAACATATAAGAACATTTTTTCAACGATGAAAAAAGTCTGTTCGGTTAAAAACTCCGATTGGACCGAGAGAAGAATTTTGTAAATTAATCAAAAACTAAGGCAAAACACTTTAAATCTTAGACTTTCGATAAAAATTGAAATGCGAAATCATTGCTGCTTCATTATTTGGGCTTGGAAAATTCACGTCAGTTTACCACATTGCCACTTTGGATGTTCACGGTAATTTACCCAAAAAATTCGTAAAAATTTCACGGCAAATTTCAATTGTCAAAGAAATTCACTAGTTGAAATACGTACGTCATGACATTAGGTCTCAACAACGAAAACCTCTATACTGTAAAAGAAGGGATTCCTCGTGTATGAAATTCAGAGAAGAATGTCACAGAGAACAAACGTCGCCATCAGGATGTATTAAGAAGAATAATTAATACGAATAACACGTTAAAAATAATGATGGATTACTCACCCATGGACTCATCGCCATACTCAGCGAAGTCATCGTCGTGTGAGGCGAAGGAGTCAACGCTGTGGATCGTCTCCTGGCGACTCATCATGGCCGCCATTTGTCTGTAGGATATCGCTATTTAGAAAATGGCCGCCATTTGTCTGCAGGATATCGCTATTTAGAAAAGCCCCCCAAAACGTCAAAAATTCCATCCAACTATCGTAACCAACTATTATTATTAATAATAGCCAAAATAAACGCTAATATATTTTCCAATTGTCGGGACATCATCAGTAACAACAGGTAAAAAGTCAATCATTTCGTGAAAGGGACTCCAAATTTCGTACCTAGTTTCATCCCCACATGCCATAGTTCCGAGCCTAGTCTCGTCCCCATACTTATTTCGTCTCTATTCTAGCGGTCGGTTACATTTGCCATTGGTTTTACTTGTGGCCACCAAGTTCAAGTTCGATGGGTCCAGCACACTGCGAAACTTTTTAACGACACGCTTTCACATTTTAAAAAGAGTTAGTACTGTAGTCGTAATATTATTTGTAAGTGGAATTTTTTGCAATAACTCAATGAGCTCACTTGTCTGTTCTTGGCAAATTTGTTTTACACAGAACGTGATCGTTCAGAAAAAAGTATTTATCTACGTCGAGGTGCTTCCAAAAATCAACATGGCAGCGATATAGGGCAGATTTACACTAAGAATCAACTTAATGCAAGCGATGTTCATTACTGGAGTATTTTCACCGAGCTTTTGAACATCGGGAACATTCGCTGCCGTAAACATCAAGAAGAGAGGAGAACAAACAAGCTTCAGGGAAAATCATTACAAGTAATGAGAAAGTGAACAGTAAAGAACATCGAGCAAAGTAAGAGGCAAATTATCAGCAATAGTCATAGAAGCAAGAAATGAGCATGAAAATAACCAGTATTTCTTATTTCCAGTAAAATAACTTCTCTGAGAGTTCGCAGTTATTTGTCCTGATCATGATGGATGAGAGCTGACAAACACTGTTAGGGACACAGAGAACAGTAAAAACAGCTAGCGCAGAGAACAAGAACCAGGAACAGGAGGAGCAGCCACAGCAGAGGAACAACAAGAACAGGAAGAAAAGTCACAGCAAATGGAACACCAAAAATATGCTGAACATCCAAAGCAGGTGGAACACCACGAACAACCTTAGCAGATAGAACAACAAGCAGCAATGAAGATTCAACATTAATTACAACAACTATAAGCGAGAACATTAAAGAAGACGCATATAAATAAATAAAAAATCACTATAATATTCTGAGACCCACTTTGACAATATCCGAATGCTCTATGAAAAATTTTGCGGTAGATACAATAAAAATAAAATTTCACTCCAAACTTCATGGATAAACATCCAAACGCTAGGTAATGTCATGTAACCGAAAGATACTTTTAAATGAAATCAATGGAACAATTTTACTATATACACGAGTTCCCCCACGCTAGCACCGATTGAACAGTTCCTCATGTGTTCAGTCGATCGTGTCAACCCGGGGCGACTGTCTTGAAAATTATCACAAAAACTTGCCGCTGGTTGGCGTACATCTGCTGCATTAATCAGTCGGTGTACGAACGCTCAAGTTTCTGCTACACTTTTTGCGTATAGCAATTTGTCCTGGCTAAATTACAAACGGCCACCTCATCGAGCCAGGCAGGACAATTATAAGGAAAGTAGTATAGTCATTCCGTGCCTCCTTATTCTTCTTGTAAAACTGCGGGACAAATACCGCACATCAGAACAAATGAAAATATAAAACTGAAGATTTATACCAAGTATACCAAGTAATTAAAGAACCAATATATCAGTATCGCACAACTCCTGGCTAAAATAAATATGAACGTGTCAACAGATACAATCACTAGAACTTAAGTGAATGGATGGGCCCAAGTTTTTAAATTCTAAATTGTGAACGAAATTTAATTTTACTTTACTCTGTCAAAAGAAAGAAAACGATTTTACTTCACACTGGAGAACTATAAACTATAACTACTATAACATGAACAAGACAATATGACAATTATAGCAAATTGACCTAAAGATTAATTCAGCGGAAGCTTTCAGCGGAAACTTAACTCCTAGGAACATCAAAACTGTAATGAATGGCAGGTGGCTGCGACCCCGAATCCAGCTACGCGCTACGCCGTAAGGCTACAAACTAAAAGTATATGTCGCACGCGTACTGGACGCGGCACAATTTAATAAGCAATTTTTCACACGCAAAGCAATTCGCTTCGGAAGTCGACCGTTTCATCATCCCATGATCTTCCTTAAGGGCATTACAGTCGACCTCTGGGCCACTAACTTAGTATTGACTGGTACAGAAACAAAGACGAATTTTTTTAAGTTTAGCGATGCATTTGTTCTTTTTGCGCAATTTTCGTTCCTTTGTGCGATTCAAATCAATTTGATTGAGAAATCATCAGCTTTTACTTATTCGACCCTCATCAGAGAACGGTTTTCATCTAATTTTAAGGCACCATTGTAATATAAAATAAAATATAAATATGCACGAATTTTTTAAAGTTCAACAGAGCAGGATAACCCTCCAGGCAAATGACGCGAAATTAACGTTTAATCGACGTTATTTTAACGTTAAAAACGCTTAATGAGCGTTGTCTCAACGTCAAATGCCTCGTGGGAAGATGTTCAAAGTGGGTTCCGTTGGTCATAAGCAGGTTACTTACACGCGGTACCAAGAATAGCGATCCACAGAATTCGCATCCCTTGGGTAGCGACAAAACAATAACAAATTATTTTAGTTTGAGGCAGGAAAATGCACAACGTTTCGCATAGTCTTTTTCACGGATAAGCTGTTTGCCTACCTTGAACTTTTTTATTGAGGCAAATTTGATCGTTTAAAATTGCCGTTTACAATACTGTTGTCAGAAATCTAGTAGTGTATTTCTTCTTTCTATAATATATAATATCCTGTTTACTTTGTTATATCCTTGCATCAGCAAGCATTTTCCAAACCAATACTCAGACCCTTCTATTCAAAAATCAAATGACTACATCAAAAATTATAAACCAAACAAAGTCGACCTGAAAATACAGCGTCTGATATCGACCAAAGAAATTATTATTCATAAAAACTATAGAAGAGTCGAAACATTTCAAATTTCAATCGTCAGTGAGCAACATTCCTGGTATAGCAATATGACAAAATCTGTTCATAACAAAATAATTAAATAACCAGATTCAGTAAATAACCAATTATTTACAAGAATATACTATATAATATACTAATATACGGAAAAGTGGGTCAAATTGACTCACTGTCTCTGCGCCTGCGCGGTCATGGGCTCGTCCTCCCCTCCCCCTCCCGCCTCCACGTCGCCGGCGGCCGCCGCTGCGGCGGGGGGCGGCCGCCCCTCGTACAGCTTAGCGCGCAGCTCAGCGATTCGCGATAACCTACGATAACAATGTTAATTATCATCGCATTAATGATAATGTAGACGATGATGTAAGCGATAATGTAAATGGTAATGCAGATTATAATGTAAATGATGATGTAATTGATGATGTAAGTGATGTGAATGATAATGACACTCTAAACTACGAGTGCTATGCAAACATACATTTATTTCTTGATCTTTATTATTAATGATTATGTGAATTGTCAAAGCATTATAATGCATCTTATCGGTGTATCAAAATATAAACTATCATTGCATCAATGATATGTAAATGATAATGTAAGCGTAAACTATATTGCTTGCAGTAACTTACAGCATTATTATTTCACCACAAATGATAAGCCCTCATGCCTCACCTGTGATGACAGCACTGCACGCCTCACCTGTGATGATAGCACTGCATGCCTCACATGTGATGATAGCACCGCATGCCTCACCTGTGATGATAGCACTGCATGCCTCACCTGTGATGATAGCACTGCATGCCTCACCTGTGATGATAGCACTGCACGCCTCACCTGTGATGATAGCGTTGCATGCCTCACATGTGATGATAGCGCTGCATGCCTCACCTGTGATGACAGCACTGCACGCCTCACCTGTGATGATGGCACTGCATGCCTCACATGTGATGATAGCACCGCATGCCTCACCTGTGATGATAGGCCCACATGCCTCACCTGTGATGATAGCGTTGCATGCCTCACCTGTGATGATAGGCCCACATGCCTCACCTGTGATGATAGCGTTGCATGCCTCACCTGTGATGATAGGCCCACATGCCTCACCTGTGATGATAGCGTTGCATGCCTCACCTGTGATGATAGGCCCACATGCCTCACCTGTGATGATAGCGTTGCATGCCTCACCTGTGATGATAGGCCCACATGCCTCACCTGTGATGATAGCGTTGCATGCCTCACCTGTGATGATAGGCCCACATGCCTCACCTGTGATGATAGCGTTGCATGCCTCACCTGTGATGATAGGCCCACATGCCTCACCTGTGATGATAGCGTTGCATGCCTCACCTGTGATGATAGGCCCACATGCCTCACCTGTGATGATAGCGTTGCATGCCTCACCTGTGATGATAGGCCCACATGCCTCACCTGTGATGATAGCGTTGCATGCCTCACCTGTGATGATAGGCCCACATGCCTCACCTGTGATGATAGCGTTGCATGCCTCACCTGTGATGATAGGCCCACATGCCTCACCTGTGATGATAGCGTTGCATGCCTCACCTGTGATGATAGGCCCACATGCCTCACCTGTGATGATAGCGTTGCATGCCTCACCTGTGATGATAGGCCCACATGCCTCACCTGTGATGATAGCGTTGCATGCCTCACCTGTGATGATAGGCCCACATGCCTCACCTGTGATGATAGCGTTGCATGCCTCACCTGTGATGATAGGCCCACATGCCTCACCTGTGATGATAGCGTTGCATGCCTCACCTGTGATGATAGGCCCACATGCCTCACCTGTGATGATAGCGTTGCATGCCTCACCTGTGATGATAGGCCCACATGCCTCACCTGTGATGATAGCGTTGCATGCCTCACCTGTGATGATAGGCCCACATGCCTCACCTGTGATGATAGCGTTGCATGCCTCACCTGTGATGATAGGNACAGCCTGTCTCTTATACACATCTAGATGTGTATAAGAGACTTGTATTAGGTGGATAAAGGGTGTATTAGGTGGATTAAGGTTGAATTAGGTGGATAAAGGTTGTATTAGGTGGATAAATGTTGTTTTAGGTGGATGAAGGCTGTATTAGGTGGATAAAGGTTGTATTAGGTGGATAAAGGTTGTATTAGGTGGATAAATGTTGTATTAGGTGGATAAAGGTTGAATTAGGTGGATAAAGGTTGTATTAGGTGGATAAAGGTTGTATTAGGTGGATGAAGGTTGAATTAGGTGGATTAAGGTTGAATTAGGTGGATAAAGGTTGTATTAGGTGGATAAATGTTGTTTTAGGTGGATGAAGGTTGAATTAGGTGGATAAAGGTTGAATTAGGTGGATAAACGTTAAATTAGGTGGATATTCTAAGCAAAAAGTGAATAAAGGTAAAAAGTGGTAAAAATGCGAAATTTTGGAGACAGGGATGGATTAGGGTGGAAAAGGGTTGAATAGAGTGGATGCCGCTGAAATATATATTTTTATACAGGTGGAATAGCATATTACCACTAATATTATCTAGATAACTGTTGGATAAATTAGCAGAGTGAATCCTAAAAGGGAGTTACAAACGCGGTAACAGAAGAGAAAGAAAGCACGATGAAATGAAGTTGCATACAAGTGGAAATAAATGAGCAGAAGGCGACAACAAAATATGGTCAGACTTGGCAGAAGAAGAAAAATAAAACATAATAATTTGCAAGATTGTGAATATTATTAACAAATGAGGAATAATGAAAAGCGTCCAAATACTCAACCGAAACCAAACGTCCAAGCAGAACTGATAGTGTGCAAAGAACATAAAAAATTAAATGCAATATGATGTAAAATAAGATAATGAATATAATAGAATAAAATAATACCGAAATTATAAGACCAAGTAACGGGTTTTGATGAGGGTTAGGAATTTTACTTGAAAATCAGTGGAATGACTCGTGAGACATGATGGCTAGCGTGCAGCGTGAGACATGATGGCTAGCGTGCAGTGTGAGACATGATGGCTAGCATGCAGTGTGAGACATGATGGCTAGCGTGCAGCGTGAGACATGATGGCTGTGCTTGACTTGGCAGCGTCTGAACTTTTATTTATAGCGGCCGTTACAAGGCCTGTTTACGTTCACACAATTGTGCCCGTCAGTATGCATTGAATTTCCTGAATAACTTAATTTAACCTTTATTAAAACTCTAAATTCAATTAAGAAAATGAAATTTATAATAAGCGAATATATAATAAATTAATATTATTCAATTTAACGGTCTTTTACCAGACATAAGTACTATTGAGTGTACAATATGAGTATATGGGGATATTGTTTACATTGTAACCTGTTTACAATGAAAAGCGTATAAGGGAACATTGTTTTCCAATATACAAACAATAGAAAGAAAGAGCTGCAATTCTTCATACAGGATCATGCCATGTGTAAGCGACATTATCATGCCATGTGTAAGCGATATTATCATGCCATGTGTAAGCGATATTATCATGCCATGTGTAAGCAATATTATCATGCCATGTGTAAGCGATATTATTACGAATGTCTTAAAAACAGTGCCAATTTTTCAATGGAGCTTCAGCGTAAATGTCATGATCAAGGCAAAACCGAAAAATAGGAGAAATTGCGAAAATAAATCTAAAATTATTTCAGGTAAGTTTAGTTTATGATACGAAATCACATTTAATCACTCACAAAGCTTATAGCTTTAAACGAGAGTGGGCAGGAAAGGTAGTAAGACGCCTAGGAAATAAGAAAAAGGTTAGGAATAAGAAGAAGGTTAGAAAGTAGAAAGAAGTTTAGGAAGCAGGAAGAAGGTTAGGAAGTATGAAGAAGGTTAGGAAGTATGAAGAAGGTTAGGAAGGTAAAAAATGAGCAAGGTGTAAGGAAGTAGGAATGAGTTTCCAACGACAAATATGAGGAGTAGGAAGATATAAGAAATAACGATCACTAAGGAAATAAATCTGGCACTCATTGTCAATTGAAGTTAACGACTTTGATTGCATATTAGAAAATTATAATAATCCTGGCAAGCACAATCTCGATATAGCAAGGAACTGCAACAACTTAAATAACGATCGAAAATTAATTAATTCTTTTTCAGACAATTTTGATCTCTGACAAAATATAGATTCAACAACACTATCAAGATTATAGCAATTTCATGGAAAGACGTAAAGAAGAAAACTGCAAACCTGAAGAAGAGCATTTAACCTTTTTGTCACGAGTTGTTTTAACAACAAAACAGAACAGATTAGATAATTATGTTTGAATTTGAGTTCAATTTTCCTTCAAGCATCCACAAATGCATACTAATCAACAATCAAGAAATGTACACTAACCCAGTGAAGTTTTTATAAATTCAATAGGCATTCAATTAGAGTATTCACAATATTACAAAATATTTACAATATAACAATTTATTTACAATATAAATTCCAGGACATGGACAACCCGTGACAATGATGCTGTTTCAAAAAGAAATTATGCATTACTAATTATCTACAAAAAATATAATACAAAAATCATAAAGAAGTAATAGATACCTAATTGTACGTGGATATTATTACTAATTTAATAGAGATACAAGGTGATTAATATTTATTATTATAATAGGGAAGTTGGTGAAAAGTTGTGCACTGTACAGTGGCGAAATGTGCAGAGAAATGCTGTGCAATGCCTGGTAATGAAGGCGAAGATGTGCAGTGTAAAGTTTGAAGACGTAATAAGCCAAAAGTAAACAGATCAAAAAAATACGTTATAATTTTAGCGAAAGAAAAACAAACGGTCGAGATTTTATTGCAGGACATGCTATCACTTAGCGTTGTATAAAAAATTTACTTTCTCATACTTAGGAATTAGAAAAATGAAAAAGTAATAAACAATTTAATATAAACAAACACGAACACAGGAAGTAAAACTTTCATTATTTAGGGAAATAATTAGTCAACAAAATTACACATGATTTAAGGAGGCGATAAATTTATATCATATGCATTGAGAATCTTTATTTGATTACTGATTAGTGTAAGATTGTAGTATAAAATATTCCTCATTTTCAAGCAATTAAGGCGGTGGTGGCCAGCATAATTTTGCAAATATTAACGGCCATTAATTATCATGCTGCTGGCTTCATATACAGGGTTACTGGGTCCTGACGTGGCCAGTAGAGCCTATATACACGAGGCCAATAGCGCGGTAAATAGTGGCGGTTAGTGTTTGAAAGTTTCAGTAGCCGCCATTACTGTCCCCGTGTACCAAAATTTTACTGGCCGCCACTTCTGTCCACGTGCATCAAAGTTTTACTGGCCGCCACTACTGTCTACGTGTATCAAAGTTTTACTGGCCGCCACTACTGTCCACGTGTATAAGCACCTCAATATACCTGTGGTGGCAAACTGTTTTTAAACAGTTTAATAACAGTTTAATGCAGTTTAATAGATTTGCCGGGGACTTGAAGTCAGTGTTTTTAAATACTGAAACTTGTTTCATGCACAAAGATAGGAAATCAAGGCTGAGAAAGTCTAAGGAGTAGTAAATATTGAGTTGAACGTCTTAATATAACTATCTACCACACTTAAACGAAAACGTCAAGGATTTTAACAATAATACTCACAGACGTAAAAATGAAGTTTCATATAGAAAATTTAATATACGAGTAAGAATTAAAATAGTTGAACTGAATAATTGAATAACTGAATATATGACGTACAAATACGATGCCAGAGTCGTAGAAAATTAAGCCAATGGAGTTGAACAAGAAATGCCGTATAATGAAACGAATTTGAACAGTAATGTAGTGACAGAGAATATTGGTACAACAATGATCAGTGTACAGTTGCTACAAAGTACAGACGTACAGGGACATGTTGCTACAAAGTACAGACGTACGGGGAAAACAAGGATCGAACGTTCAGTGTACAGTTGCTACAAAGTACAGACGTACGGTGACAGCAAGGATCGAACGTTCAGTGTACAGCTGCTACAAAGTACAGACGTACGGGGACAGCAAGGATCGAACGTTCAGTGTACAGCTGCTACAAAGTACAGACGTACGGGGACAACAGGGATCGAACGTTCAGTGTACAGTTGCTACAAAGAACGAACGTGCGGCGACTTGTTTTTTGCAATGGTTCTAATAGGGTAATGGGTTGAATGGGTGACAACTAATAAATAAGAAGACATGAAAACATTGAAAAATACGACTATCGCTAGTGAATGAATAGGCAAGACGATGTTTAGGGAGCGAGCAACGGGGCATGAATGTCCATTATGAATGCCGTCATCATGAATTCAGTGATCGAGTGAAGGTGAAAAGCGCCAGATTGTGATACCCCTACGACTTGAAAATTGTGATGAAGCGGGAGTATGAATTAGTATTTGATGAATTAATGAAATGTATGAATGTTAAAATTTTGTATTGATGACTTGAATGCAGCAAAAAATTTTATTGAAGTTAATAGCTTCGCAGACAGGCATGAGAAAAGATCAATGTTCAATTTCAATTAAAGTTTCACGTATTTTTACAATATCCCCGATGAGAAGTCTTAGTCTATAATTAATATCTCTGGAAGCATCACCAGTTTCCAACTGCTAAGGAAAAAATGTTCTTGCGTGTTCTATGGCTACACTTTCTGTAAATTTCACGACTGTCAATTTTTCACAACATTATTCGATGACTGATAAATGTGCACATCTTTATTCAGGTAACTCCTCCAACAAAGCGTCGTAATAATTTCTTAGATCAATATAAACAGATTTTTTTTTAGAAAACGTGAAGTACCAATGCAGAGAGAGTATAAAAGCCTCAAACCTTATTAAGCTAATTCGTACAACGAAACGTAAGTTCGTAAAATTCCCCAGAAAAATTTATTCGGGTATGTTGCCTGCCTGCAAAGTGTAAACTGAACTCGACTCGTGGCAAGGTACGATAAAAAATTAAGTCGTAAATGCTCCTCCCACCATCCGTCCTCACAGCGGCAGTTAAAAATTATTTCGGACAAAATATGTAGATAATATACAATAAATTCCGATAAATTGTTCATGGAACCGTAAAATTGTAACTATATACTAATTGCATCACTGGATACAATTCATGGAAATTAGAATCAAAATAAGCAAACTGATAAAAAGTTACTGAATTCAGCTGCTACTCGATGTAGAATTTTTTGCCATGCACTCCTGATGACGGCCAAGAGAAGCGATTTTTTTATTTTGGTAGACGTGACATGCATTTTTGTAGCAAGGATCATTTCGAGCAGGGCGACAGCCAGCAATGGACAACACTTACACCAACGCACTACCAATCCTTTCGTTCACCATTCTTCAAAATTTACCGTATGAGATTATAGCAGGACGTGTAGGTTTGTCTCCACCATCAAGAGGGGCCATGATACTGGGATCAACTGAAACCGGCGATGTCTCCTCGGCGTCTCCATCATTAGTGAGTGAGACATCAGGATTAATAGCAACCAGTGTGGGTTCGTCATCTCCAAAATCGGTGATTGCGACATCATCAGCAGAAGCCTCATCATCAGTGACTGCGATAGTATGATCAGAAGCGGCAATAAAAGTTGGCATGGAACTTACGTCAGACGATGAAGTTGTGATATTAGAATCAATATGGAGCAATGTGGATGCACCAGCACCGGTAGAAGTGGTTGTCCTAACTACCACCTCATCGTCATCCCCAGACTCTGTAGTAAGGTCAACTTGGACTAATTCAAAATCTTCTTCATCGGAGCCAATGGGAACTTCGATTTGCGTGTCTTGAGAATCAGTTCGGTGCACGGTTGCTACATCCTCAATAGGCTGAACCATATCTGCACTTGATGCGATATCCAGTCCAAAAAGTAAGCCAGAATCCTTAATACCCGAAATTTCAGTCCCTGAACCTTCGATACGAGGTACTCCTAAACTATCATCATCAGTTAGGGGCTCACGAATATTGGCACCAAAACCGCTACCATCATCTTCACCAATAGTAGGCGACGTTTGGAATCTAGAAACTCCTGAGAGAATATTATCAGTTGTTTGACTTCCTGACCCATCTTCATCAGAACCTGCAATATCAGATACCACACTTCCTATTACCTCCTCCCCAGAACCTGTTATATCAGATGACACACTTCTTGACCCGTCTTCACCAGAAGCTGCATAATCAAATGACAGACTTCCTGACCCATCTTCGCCAAAGCCTACAAGGTCAGATGCCGGACTTCCTGACCCACTTCCATCAGAATATTCATGACCAGATGCGAAAACTCCCGTTGGCACTGGAGGGTAAACTGATTTTGCTGATGTACTTGATGTAACAGTTAAATAAGTAGTTAATTCTTCACTATCAGAGTCGAATCCCAAATCTGTGTCATTTGTTCCCGATACTGTGGCATTAGTTGCCTCCAATGATTCTGTCTTAGCCTCCCCGGAAAAAAAGTCGATGGTACCATCAAAATAATCGGGCGCTGACTCATCCGTAGACAAAGAAATCTCGACATTTCTTAGTCTCGGATCAATTTCTTCAATGGAATATTCAGGTCCATCGCCAGATGCTTTGTTACCTTCATGCCGATCCGAGTCCTCTAAGAGCGAGCCTTCAAGACTTGTTCGAGAAGAATCTGTTTCACCGTCAATCAGTCCTATGCCAGAGCTTTCTTCGCTGGTTTCTGCGCTGTCAGTAACCGCTTCTTTCTCCAGATCCCTTTCGCCTTCAATGACGGGAGTTTTAACTTCTGAAATGTCTTTGCGCTCTTCATGAATGGTTTCTTCTATTTCGGCGAGTTCTACCCTTTCTCCCAGCAAGCGTTCTTCTTCGTCATCCAAACCTTCTCGAATAAAAGAAAGCTCATCTTCCGCTTCTGAAGTTTTATTTCTCTCCGTCTCCATCATGTCGTGTCGTTCTTCTAGAATTTCTTTTTCGTGCGTAAGGCTTTCGTTTCTGAGACGGATGCCATTCTCCAAGGCATCTAGTGTGTCGAGTTCATCCTTGGTGGCTTTGATTTTTAGATCAACCTGGCTTTTCTCCAGTATGAGATTGTCTTCTTGCGAGTCTATTTCATCCAGTATTGTTTGCAAGTCTTCCCTCTGGCCTGCCAATATCAGCTCATTTTCCTCTAGAATCATTTCTTCATCTTCTAACTGACGTCGCTCTTCTAGAAGCTTTTCTTGATTTTCGTCAATCATTGCCAGTTCTCGGTCCAATTCTATTTGTTTTTCCTGTAGTTCTTCCAAACTGCTTTGCATATCACTTTCTTTTGCCCCAAGTGTAGCTTTCTTCATCTCAAGCTGATTTTTCTTTGTTTCTAGCTCGGTTTCTTCAACGGCGATCGCAATTTCTTTATCAATGACATCGTCACGCTCTGCCTCGATACCACCTATTGCCTGTTCAATTTCTCTTTCTTTCTCTTTCAATTGTTCTTCCTTTCTCAACAACACCGTTTGTTCTTCCTCCAAGGTCTCTTGCTCTTCTTCTAGCTTCTCTTCTCTTCCAATAATGTCCTCTCTTTCTTCTTCAACTTTTTGGATGCCTTCGTCCGTCACGTTCTTCAGAACCCCCATCATGTTTTCTTCATCGAACATATCTTTTTCTTTCACATCCAGTTCTTCCGTATCTTCCTCCACCACTCTTTTCCCTTGGACGATTGCCTTATCCAATTCATTTACGACTTCTTCAACTTCATGGAGCAAGTCAACTTTTTTATCGAGCTTTGCATTCTCAATGTTGATCAAAGCAATTTCGATTTTTTGCTTTTCATTTTCAACTATAGATATTTCTTCTCTTACTTTTTCTAATTGAGCTTGAATTGAGCTATAATTTCCTTCAATTTCTTTCATAGGCCTTCCAGTAAGTACACCCCCTACTTCTGTTTGGACTCTCTTGAAACCCAACACGTCTTCAGTATGGTTCAAGTAGTCTAAAATGTCATCAATAGTTTCAATGATAGCAGGAGATCCACTGCCTTCTGTCTCGTGACTTTGTTTTTCTGACGCATCTTCATTTTCTCTGGGAATCAATTCTTCGCTTTTCGATTTTGGAAAATCATCAGAAATTTCACTCACAGTCATGTTTGCAAGTGGTCCTCCAAACTCCAAAGACTCCTCCGGAACTTTTCCAGTAGACTCCAGGTTAATTTCTGCTTCTCGTAAACCATTTAACTGATCTTCCAATTGTCTTAGTTTTTCTTTAAGCACTGATTCCTCCTGTTCGAGTCGAACATCAGTTCCCGACAAAGCTTTATCCTCATCTGTTCTATTATCGCTAATTATTATAGGGTCTGGGAAATACGTTAAATCGTATTCAGTCTCATTGTCAAAGTCCAAATACTCGTATTCATCGTACGAGTCACCGGCAATACCTCCGGCAGGTGCACTTTCTACATTTGGCTTGTGTGTTGAGTATACATTCGTTTCGGCTTCATCCTCGGTCGCAATTTCGACTACTAGGGGAGTTACAGTTGCATTTGGTTTTCTGGATCTGCCACCAGTCAGTTGTCCTCCATACAAGGTAGGGTAGTGGTCATCTGTGGTGTAGTTGAAATAGTCATAGGCGGCTGGAATATAGTCAGTGATGTCATCGTACGGAACGACATCAAAAACATCTCCCTCGCCATCACCGTCCTTTTCTTCTGCTGTTGAATCATATTCTAATGCGTCACCATCGGAACGATTCGATTCAAATGGAACTTGACTTTCATTCTCACTACCAGTTCCATTGTTTTTCAAAGCGCCAAAAGCGTCACTTTCTTCTTCCACATTATGTAGCACAACACCGTTTGTTTCAGGGACTTTAACACCTTCATGGTTTTTCGAAGCTATAACCGTTACCCCCAAAAAAGTTTCAGGTTCTTCGATATCGTCGAGTTCAACTTTTCCAGCTATATCCATACTCGAAGTATCAAACTCACTACTAACAGTCTCTGTAGGGGCAGATGTGCTTAGTGAATTAAAACCGTCCCAAGTTTCGATATTTCCTGGAATTTTGGATTCGTTAGATTCCTGGAAATTCGCTGATCCATTCAGTTCGTCGCTGCCATCATCATTATCAAAGGGATGAACGAAGCCTCCATCTTCGACACTTGATGTATCTGTGTTAAAGTCGTTACGATAAGTTACTAATTGTTTCATAACAGAACCTTTATTAGAGCCATGAGGACTGCCGTTCTGAGTGTGACCAAACAGAATTGAATAAAAACACATAAATTGTTCTAATATTTGATTCTAGGTAATCATTTCTGAAAGCCACATCCTTGAAAGTGCATGCAGAACTTGAACAACTGGGAACAAACGGCTGCATAGGACTCTTTAATCCGTACATAACTAATATTAGATGAATCTTCGATTATGTATCAAAAGATACCAAACAGAAATTTACTAGTTTTGTTTGGTTCATTCAAACTTCAGCTCTATTTTTAAAACTAACAACAAATTACTCTTGGTTTGGATGACTGCATGGAAATTTGGTGAATGGTGGCCAAGGCTGTATTTTCCTAGTCCGGTGTTAATTAAACGTGTGAATTCTATCAAATATAAGCAACTGAAGTCGGAATCGAAACTAAGTTGATGAATAAAATTTTTACCAAACTAAAAACTCATCGACGAGGAAACACAAACGAAAAAACTGAGTGAATTTCAGAGTTTTAACCTTTGTTTAAACTTTTCTTTCGAAAAAAACTTACGACAGGTTCATCTTGATTGAAAATCATGAAAATTGTGCAAACACTGCAGCATTAAAAAATGTGTTCCAAAAATTTTAATGCCGTTAATAACAAATCCTTGGCTTTTTGGAAAACATTAATAAGATCTTAAGGAGATTTTAATCGATTTATTTGAAAATTAGAACCGAATCTTCCCACATAATTTACCTACTAATCAACTACTTAATTTAAAAAAAAAGCGCGTATTTTTTTCGCAGGTGAACAATTTACGCAGTGGAGAATTTAAAAATTATTTTCCATGGACTTCGCGGCAATTTTCGAGATTTGCGAACGAATCAGAATCGAAATAATCAATTGCCAATTCAATTTTATAATAAATTTATATTGATGATTCAGCATGATAAATGTATGACATGATTAAGAGGTCTCAAAGTGAAATGATTACGTTGAAAAATGCACATGATATCGTTCATTAACTGATAAATGATGACACAAAATCATTGAGCCATAGAACACATTGAGCATGCTAGGAGCAAAGGACTCTAGTGTTCGACAGAATACGTATCATTATATTATTCTATGTATTATTCTATTCTAAAGGAATCTAAAAAGCTCAGGAAAATTAGTTCAGATCTTTAAGGCCATTTCACCATAATCAACGTCACAAAAATTGCGATAGACACTTAGAAAAAGAAATATCGATAACTCGGTATCAGGAACGAGTAGACTTAGATGCAATTCCTGCCAAATCCCTGCGCCATTCTTTTTTAGGATAATTTGTAAATATTTATTAATATTAATAAAAATACAGGAAAGGATTCTTTCGAAGTTTGCGCTGGCTGGTTTCAAGGAATTTAGTTTTTTCGTATAAAAAATTCTTACACTTCCCGAACTTCATCTATTGGGATCTTTTCACCGAACTCGACAAAAAATTGTTCCTTAATAAGCAAAATCTTTAGCTAATTTTGTTAAATAAATATTAAAATGCAATGAAAATTAGGCTCTGGAAAGTAAGTAGATTGAAAATTTTCTTTTCAAATCCTGAAAAACCTAAAAATAGTCGAGAGAATAAGGAAAGCGATGGCCTAAATATTATTATTGTTTAAGATTTTAACTGTTAATTATTACTATGACAACAATGGTCGTATGGCTTTTCGATCGTAAAACAAAGCTTAAAGAATTTTATATCGTACACTTTGAAGACGCGAATATTTATTCGTGAAAAAAGTTTACTGGAACCAGAAGCGCTCAATGTTCAAATAGAAAAATTCAGGAAAAACGTACTTTCAAACAAAAAAATTCGTTTAATCCTTAACATAAAATTGCTTGAGTATACGAGAGAATTGAAAGCTTGCGTAGAACGCGTAATACAAACATTAAGTTTAAGCATTTACTTGAAAGATTGGTTTGCAGACATCTTTAGTATCACGGTAAATCCCCCTCATACCATTTAAATTAAAACAATTATGAAAATTTAAAGCGTTCATTGAAAACTATTCCAACGATTGCAATAATTATTAATTAATTTTTAGCTCAAAATAAATAAGAAATGATATACGTGTGCTTTAAGAATTTGAATGAAATCAAAAGATATGAAAGTGAAAGAAGTGACGATAAAATAGGGAGTACACAATCATAAAATTAGGTAAATAGTTAAATAAATTTGTTAAACTGCGAGTATTTAAAACTTGAATTAAAATATAAAGAAGAGCAGAAGATTAATATCATCAACAACGAATATCGTTAACAACGAAACAACACATTCAACACATATTGTATAAATTAAGGAAATCTTTATAAGCGTCATTTTGAAGGCAGTGAAATTCATTTTACATTTGAGTGAGTGCGGCGAGTAGAGAATGAAAGTGTTGAGTTCAACTAAAGTTAGTGTGTTGGAAAATTGCGTGTTGATATGCATCGTATGTGACTTGCAGTGCAAAAGAAATTAAGAAGCTTTTTACCTTCCAATCAAGAAGACAATTCAGTAATTCAAATGCTTATTAATATATATAATATTATATATTTTTAGGAATAAAAATTTAAAAATTCGTCTTTTTAATGCGTTGTGTATTTTTTTCAGTCACCAAGAATCGCAAAAATAATTTTCTATATTCAATTCATTATCACAAAGAAGTTTAAATTAAAGATTGATTTCGCAAAAACTTTTAAGCATTGCAGTTCATTGATCAGAAATATACTTAACTTGAAAGATGGTGAAAACAATGAACGTTATTGCTACAGTGAGTACCCAAGATGAAGCACCAAGAAATGTGTTGTGCTAGCAACTAAAAATTGAGTTAAACTCGATGAACAGTACCTGACTGTTGAATTTCCGCTGTTTGGTCGCAGAAAACGAAAAGAAATATTCAGGATGGGTTGATAAAGCGTTGATAAACTATTTCAACATCGGTAATAGACACAGTTTGTCTCAGCTCTACATAGAAAAGAACTACCAAACAAATTTTTTTGAACCGAAAATCAACTTTGGGTTCTTCCTAAAAAAGAAATTAGAGGGCTGAATTGTCAGAGTAAATCGCGCTTTAAATTACTAAAAAAGTAGACTAGACTTTGTCTTTTCAAAACGACCAAATTCTTTTGAATAAACAACGAACTGGTCCATTACTTAATGTATTTAGTGAAATTGATGTTCAATTCATAGATAACAGCTTAGTCTTTGAAAGCATATAACAGTCTTTTACAATTTCAGCAGCTTTCTTTAGTTACCAGTTATCGAGGTACCTACTGATAACGTTATGTATCGTTACTAATTGTGCACGCATTAGAATTTCTTTATAACGCATTGTACTGAGATTTTATAATAGATAAAAAAATTTCTACACATATTTCTTTTAGAAGAGAATTATATCCATTTTTTTAATTTCATCGCATCAAATAGCGTCAGAAAACTTCCGCCGTTCCAGAAAATAATTCCAGCCGTTAAATCTTCGTAAAATATTTACTTGGCATGAAGCTACACATTGCATTGTTAATGGTAGAAAAAATAATGATGCACAGCATATAACTACTTAAAGTTGATGTAATTATCTACTGAACATGTAATTATCTGCTGAATATGTAATTATCTAATGAATAAATTATCTACAATAATTATCTACACCGTGTTGCGACCTACTGAATATGTAATTCTCTATTGAATATGTAATTATCTACTGAACATGTAATTATCTACTGAATATGTAATTATCTTTTGAATATGTAATTATCTATTAAACATGCTAAAATGTCCGGAACGACAGTAAATTCGTCAGGAAAAAATAGTTTCAAACTTTTGCATTAATAAAGAGAAAATTAAAAAAATTAAATAAATATACGGCAAGATACAATTCAACTTTCATATATACAGCTGAATGGTTAGACATCCAACAATTTTCGATGGAATTAAATTTAAAGAATTTATTTTAAATAAATGATAAGAATAATAAAGATAATCACTTACCGATGGCGGGCCCTTGTCGTCGTTCTGAGATGAAAAACGGGAAAGCAAAGGGTTAGTGACACTCAAAACACACACGGTTAAATAGTTACAATCGTAAACTCATGTGTGAATAGTTGAATTAAAGGTATTAATTCAAAATCAATTGCTATAATAACTTTTCATGAAAGTTAAAAGTTTTAAAAGAGTAAGAAATACAAAATTAGTTATACCAAATAATTAATTGATCACTCTGAAGCATCACTTCGTGACTGGATTGATTAATGATTATTGTTGCGACAACTCAATGACTAACATCGTATCTTTTATATAATAACTGACGCCTTAGGATAATTTGTTATTAGGGTTGGCAAGAAATTAATGAAATTCGAAAAATTTTTCATTGTAGGTAGCGAATTAACAAAAACGAAGAAATTTTCTTCATGTTAATTTAACGACAGAAAATTTCACAAATGATCTGTAATTGGCACAAATTAATACAGGTTCGATTTCTATGAAATTTTCGAATCATAAATCTTCGTGAAATGTGTGTTAAATAAAAAAAACGAATGGGTCAGATTGTCAAAATAGAGATACACTTCCTGAACGTACCAATGATACGCCTTTTTGTTGGGCTAAAATGGGTCAGGATGACCCACACAGGGAAAGATGTGCATCATTATTTGGACAAAGTCTGACTCATTTCTCTGAGTTATCTCTGCTAGACAACGTGACTTAATATGCGCATCAGTTATGTCTCATTTCCTTAATCCTAATAAGTAAATTATTAAATAAACTTACTAATTATTTAAGATAGTTTCTAAAAATGAGATTGCCTATAATATTGTTTTAGAACATTTAATATCATAATTAGTCGCGATAAGTCAAGAAGTTGCCTTTTTAGCATAGATGTCGAATTCGACATTTTTCTTAATAAATTTAAAAACTGAAAGTGAAAAAGTTTCTAACGAAACTGCCAATCCTCACAAGCCAACTTACCTTTCAAACTTGAGTTTAACACAAAGCAAGCCTGCCGTGTTGTTCAAATAGTTACTTATATTAATTATTCAAGACAATCATCTGATTATTCAATGCTCTAGTCTTTTCTTTCTCAATCTTTGGTCCCGGTAAATTCTTTTTCGAGCGGAACACTCTTCGTGTTTTGTATCAAAATTGCGTTTCCTTCAGTAAAATTCTAATTTAAAGCAAAACTTGAATACTTGAATATTAATCGGAATTAAATATTTCTAATTGTGATTCGGATTACTGCAAAAAAGTGCACTGTAAATTAAAAAATATATGTCTTAAACATGTTCCTAATTTGTAGAAAAATAATCTATTTTTGGAAACAAAAATTAGACGAATTTTTATTGAATGAACCAATTTTCACGTTCATGCTTTCATCAGGAGGTTGTACACTTGAATAAATTCTGATGTCAATACCGATACTTATGCCAATACTCGTCCTGGTTCTTGCCATACTATGGATACCCAGTGTTGCGAAACTATAGATACCCAGTGTTGCGATACTATAGATACCCAGTGTTGCGATACTATAGATACCCAGTGTTGCGATACTATAGATACCNGTGGTAGAGTGGTAGAGGTGGGGTGGTGGTAGAGTGGTAGAGGTGGGGTGGTGGTAGAGTGGTAGAGGTGGGGTGGTGGTAGAGTGGTAGAGGTGGGGTGGTGGTAGAGTGGTAGAGGTGGGGTGGTGGTAGAGTGGTAGAGGTGGGGTGGTGGTAGAGTGGTAGAGGTGGGGTGGTGGTAGAGTGGTAGAGGTGGGGTGGTGGTAGAGTGGTAGAGGTGGGGTGGTGGTAGAGTGGTAGAGGTGGGGTGGTGGTAGAGTGGTAGAGGTGGGGTGGTGGTAGAGTGGTAGAGGTGGGGTGGTGGTAGAGTGGTAGAGGTGGGGTGGTGGTAGAGTGGTAGAGGTGGGGTGGTGGTAGAGTGGTAGAGGTGGGGTGGTGGTAGAGTGGTAGAGGTGGGGTGGTGGTAGAGTGGTAGAGGTGGGGTGGTGGTAGAGTGGTAGAGGTGGGGTGGTGGTAGAGTGGTAGAGGTGGGGTGGTGGTAGAGTGGTAGAGGTGGGGTGGTGGTAGAGTGGTAGAGGTGGGGTGGTGGTAGAGTGGTAGAGGTGGGGTGGTGGTAGAGTGGTAGATGTGGGGTGGTGGTAGAGTGGTAGAGGTGGGGTGGTGGTAGAGTGGTAGAGGTGGGGTGGTGGTAGAGTGGTAGAGGTGGGGTGGTGGTAGAGTGGTAGAGGTGGGGGGTGGTAGAGTGGTAAAGTGCAAGTGTAGATGCAAATGGCTTTTGCCATATTTTGAAGTAAATAATACTAGTCCAATCTTCTAAGTCAAACATTGGTTGTAAAGGGTTCTTTATTAATTAGAACACATCAACTTCATTATTATTACCGGGATTAGTAATTACGAAAAAACGGGAATTGTGTTAACTGGTTTTCAAAACTTCAAAAATTATCAAGTTTTGGCAACGCCAGGCTAACCTGCTTGTACAGCTGAATATTTGCCACAAATACGTACGTTAGTAGCAGTTTATTTAATTCATTCGTTATTAATTAAAACATCTAATAATTTTACCGTTTGAATCTAACTCTGGGTCGCTGGGATCTGATGGTTGAAGTGTTGGGACGGCTGAAAATCGTTGACAGATAATTTTTAGTTTTTCCAAACAAATTTTTGAACTAAAAAAAAAAAATTCTTGAAGTGATTGCTGCACAGCTACACTAAGAGAAATTGGCGAGGCTTTGTCCAACTAGCGAGGCATATTTTTTAACAATAAACCTAGTCAACAAGGAACTCTAAATGAATGATATCCATTATGAATCTATAGCTCATCAAATCAAAACCATCTTGAATGAAATATTCAACTGACTACTAAATTTTGAAAAAGTTTGAGCTCACGAAGATATTAGAAAAATCCGCTCTACAAGAACCTTTCTTAAATAAAAACCGATAAAATAAATTTGCTATTTTGTACGGACCAAAGCTTAAGAACACGCAACTATGCAAATGGTTTGCCAGCCAAAATAGTGATTGACGTAAAAATAATTATTTTTTTATTTTTCTTCTTCTCTATTCACATCAACCTCTCATCAAAACAAAAAAAATAGAAAAAATTCAATTCTAATCAAACCCTGTCATTTGAAAAAACGTGTGAAGAAATTGTCCAAACACACATTTAAACAGAAACTATTCTAAACTTACTTCGGAAAGGTCCAATTTTCGTGATATCAGAAGGCGTCTCAAAGTCCCCGTCCTTGGCTACGACTTGGACTTCGTAGACCTTGTAGGGGTCGAGACCGCGCAGGGTCTGCTGAAGGGACTTCTCTTCTACGGGGGACTTACGCCACTTGTTCGTGCCCTCGGGACTGCAAGAAAGTCCACTTTCCATTATTAATTATTTACATAAAAAATAATTACCATCAAAAAGAAAATCAAGTTAATTAAGTAATTCAAGGCATGACGCCAATTTCCACTCATAATTAATCAAATAAAACTCTCACTGAATGTTTCTAACTCATTTGTCCACCGCAAATTTCAAACCATTTCAAGAACAGACCCACCCCGAGCTAAGAACTTAGTGAAGAATGAGTATAGGTATAAGTTTGAGAGACATTTAGAATGAATCCCCTTCACCTTTAGAATAAATGTTAGAGAAAGCCTGTAACAAATATTAATTAATCAAAAATATTTCATAGTTAACACTCGTTAAGTAAGAAGTCTACCGCCAGTTTAGCACCCCCTTAAATATTTAGTTGAATTCTAGTTTAAACTTATTCAATATTAAACTTATTCAACATTAACTTATTGAAAAGCAAGTCTTCTAGATCTTTAACGATCTCCTCTTCGAACAAATGAATACTAGGGCCCGCATCTAAATTTTGTTATAGTATAATTAGTATAATTTGTTCAGTCTGTGGCCCTGAAAAATCTACTATAAAGTCAGCGTTTTAATGAACACTGACCAAGAACTCACCGGTACCGGACGAAGAACTCAGTGCCGGGATGGTTCTCAAAGTCGGGCCTCCAGTTTATTTTGACATCAACGCCTTGGCCTTCGTCAGCAGCGTCAACATCGCCGTCGCCGTCACGATCAGACGCCACCACGTCATCCCCGTCAACGTCACCATCGTCATCAACGTCTCTTATGTCGTGGTTGTCAACGTCTCCGTCACCATCCCTGTCAGCTGCATGCACGTCATCGACGTCAACGTCACCGTCGTTGTCGATATCAGCGACTGCGACGTCTTCCTCGTCAACGTCACCGTCACCGTCGGTATCGAGCACGTCTTTTCGGTTGATTTTCCCGTCGTTATTGACGTCTTTGAGGATGACGTACCGAACGGCCACGTCTCGTCCGTCAACGTCACCGTCACCGTCCCTGTCTGACGCCAGCAAGTCATTGCCGTCTACGTCACCGTCGCCGTCCATGTCAACAACGTCTGCGCTGTCAACGTCACCGTCACCGTCCTTGTCTGCAGCCTTGACGTCTTTTCTGTCAACTTTTCCGTCGTTATTGACGTCTGCTATTTTGATATCATCGTCGTCTATGTCGCCGTCCTCGTCAAGATCTCGTACGTCGTTTCGGTCAATATCGCCGTCACCGTCAACGTCAGCGATTATCACGTCATCGCCATCGTCATCCTTAGCGTCTATGTCCCCGTCTTTGTCTTCGTCAGCTGCAATTACGTCTTTTGCGTCTACGTCACCGTCACCATCTTCGTCGCCGATGTCAGCAAAGTCCACGTCACCATCACCGTCACGATCGCCAGCGCGCACGTCTTTAGCGTCAACGCGGCCATCTTTGTTGATGTCAGCGACGTTGAAGTCTTCCAAGTCCACGTCATTATCACCGTCAGTGTCAAGCACGTCATCCTTGTCAACGTCGCCATCACCGTCGGTGTCACCAAGGACGATGCGTTTGTTGACGAAGTCGCTGTAGTCTACGTCACCATCGCCGTCTCGGTCCGTCACCTCGACGTCTGCCTCGTCAATTAACCCGTCACCATCGAGATCAGACACGTCATCACCGTCTATGTCACCATCATTGTCTCTGTCTGCCTTGCGTACGTCGTCAGCGTCAACGTCACCATCGTCGTCAACGTCAGCGGCCGCGATGTCTTCGGCATCGACGTCACCGTCGCCATCAACGTCAAGCACGTCGTCCTCGTCAACGACGCCATCGTCGTTCGTGTCGCCCAAAAATACGGAACGCATCGCGAAATCTGACGCATCAACGTCGCCGTCAGCGTCACGATCCCGCACGTCTAAATCGTCCTCGTCGATCTTACCGTCACCGTCAAAATCGACCACGTCTTTGACGTCCACGTCACCATCACCGTCCTTATCGATGACTTTCATATCGTGCTCGTCGATGTCGCCATCGTCATCAACGTCGAACACGTCCAAATCGTCACTATCAACGTCACCGTCGCCGTCCAAATCGACGAGGTCTTCGGCGTTAACGACGCCATCGCCATCAACGTCTTCCAGCAAGACGTTCTCGTCATCCTCGTCCTGCACGTCAATGTCACCATCCTGATCCTTGTCTGCCGCAATGACGTCTTTAGCGTCAACGTCACCATCGTCATCTTCGTCACCGATATCCAGAGCATCCACGTCGCCGTCACCATCCTTGTCTGCCGCTCGTACGTCGTCACTATCAACGTCACCATCATTGTCGATATCCGCGACGTTTCGATCAGCCTCATCGATATCACCGTCACCGTCAACGTCTAACACGTCCTCTGCATCAACGTCGCCATCATGGTCGGTGTCGCCAATGAACGTCTGACGTAAGACGAAGTCTTCACGGTCAACGTCACCATCGCCGTCACGGTCTCGCACCTCTACATCGTCACCATCGATGTTCCCGTCACCATCAACGTCTATCACGTCACCAGCGTCCACGTCACCATCGCCGTCTTTATCAGCAGCTTTTACATCGTCAGCGTCAACGTCACCATCGTTATCGATGTCAGCCGCTGCAATATCTTCGTCGTCCACGTCACCATCGCCGTCAGTGTCAATTACGTCGTGAATGTCAACGTCACCATCGCCATCTTGGTCCTCCAGTATCGTCTGTTCCTCATCATCGTCACCAGCGTCAATATCGCCGTCACCGTCTTCGTCAGCGGTCAGCACGTCAGCACCGTCGAAGTCCCCGTCGCCATCTTCGTCACCGACGTCAGCTATATCCACGTCACCGTCACCGTCGCGATCTGCGGCCTTTACGTCATCCTCGTCAACGTCGCCGTCATTATCGATGTCCGCCACAGCCACGTCATGGTCGTCAATGTCGCCGTCACCGTCCGTATCCAGCACGTCAGCCTCGTCAACGTCACCATCTTCGTCAGTGTCGCCAATAATGACGTGCCTGTTGCGTACGTCATCCTCGTCTATGTCGCCGTCATCGTCGACGTCAACGACGTCGTCGTCGTCACCGGCGTCACCGTCACCGTCCACGTCTTTGTCCTCGTCGTCCACCGCCCACGAGAAGAGCGGCGGCACCGGCAGCCCGGGGACGACGTGCTCCCCAGCGGCGGTCAGGAAGCTCCTGGAAAAGTGGGTCAACATTTGGACAATATGACACATTAATTTTTCTGAGTATAGTGACCAACAGCAGCAACAACCATGGCTTATTTGCAACATTTTTGACACCTCTGTGGTTACATGAATATTTTAAATATTTATATTTGTGAAATGTTTTGCAATATGTATGTTACCATAGAGGTTGTCAACAAAATTATCTTTATGGCAAACATTTTTTGAGGCAAAAATTTGAGTTTATGAGAAACTAAAGAAATTTTTCATTCAATTTGTCGTTCATTAGGTAATGATGAGAACAAATCACGATCTATATTAGCAGAGAAAAATTAAATCTATTGTGATGAAATTGAATCTATGATCGACAGTCATTGGAGATTAATTTATGAATTATGAGAGGAGCGTATAAAGGTAATAAATGATCGTAATTAAATAATTAAAATAAAGCAATACTAACTTGCTACCGAGTCCCGCAGCGTTCTTAGCCTGCACGGCGATCTTGTAGCGAACGCCTTCCTGTAGGTCTGCGATCTTGGCCTGTAGGGATAGAATATGCTGGGATAGATTATGCAGGGATAGAATATGCAGGGATAGATTATGCAGGGATAGATTATGCAGGGATAGATTATGCAGGGATAGATTATGCAGGGATAGATTATGCAGGGATAGATTAATGCCGGGATAAATTATGCAGGGATAGATTATGTAGGGATAGATTATGCAGGGATAGATTATGCAGGGATAGATTATGCAGGGATAGATTATGCAGGGATAGATTATGCAGGGATAGATTATGCCGGGATAAATTATGCAGGGATAGATTATGTAGGGATAGACTAATAATTGCACTTATGACCATTAATTTTAAAGCTGCGTCTGTGGTTATTAAAGGCATTTACATCACAAATATTTGTATAATAAATTCAATTTTAAATGTAAATTATATATTTTATCGTTTTGACAACTTCTCACTCATTTCTCTGATTGAATGATTAATACTAAATTATTAAAACTAATTGCTGATGATCAATATTAAATTACTAAAACAATTAGTAAATAATTGCTGACACTCACGCAACTAATTGGCGCCGCGACGATGATGGTCTGAATGTCCTCGTCGTCCTGCCCGTGGTCGTCAGTCTTTGCCTCGATGGTCACGTCATCTATTTCCATCTCGGTTGGTTCCTCGTCCTCCTGTCCCTCTTCCTCGTCCCCGTCCCGAGCAGGGGCGTAGGTGACGTGGTATGACGTGATCTTGCCGTTAGGGGACGATGGTGGGTCCCATCTCACGATCACACTCGTCCCTGAGATGGGCTTTGACTCCAGGTTCAGGACTGACGATGGTTCTGTAGACGTGTACACGTCAGTGACCATGAAAACTGCACTGAATTATATTGATGAATGTCAGTTATTAATCCAATAATTCAACGATTAATAATGATAGTGATGAATCCAGGCTCAGGACTGCTGAAGATTCTGTAGACGTGTACACGTCAGTGACCATGAAAACTGCACTGAATTATTGATGAATATTAGTTATTAATCTGATAATTCCTCGATTAATAATAATGATTGATGAATCTTGTTACAGGACAGACGAAGATTCTGCAGACGTGTACACGTCAGCGACCATTGCGAGCAATTTTTTGTTTGATAATAAATGTGAGTGATCGAAATTCTATGATATTTTTCTGTTAGTGATAAATGGCAATGGATGAGAAATCTGATCATTCATTAATGATAAATGGAAATGAATGATGAATCTGAGCACTGTTGGTATAGCTTGTTTCAGGAACGTTGTTAGTGGAAGTATGGGAATTAAATTTAAAATTTTTACGTTTGATAATTGTGAATCATTAGCGATACCAATGATCTTAACCTATAGATAATAAAAAACAAATAATATTAATCCCTAATACTAGAATATCTTTTGAATATATTAAAACATTTACTACACATTCACTGAGTAGCGTTCAGTGTATGCATAATGAATGTTCTTGGCGCTTTCATTTTTAAACTTGTTGGATAACGAACTCAATCCCTAATCTCATGATAACATTTCAATATATTAAAATATTCCCTACTCATTAACAGACTATTTAATGTTATTTAAATAGGCTATAATATTCATAACTCGTAAACTGACTGATTAATATTATTCAAGTAGGATAACATATTCACTACTCGTAAACTGACAATATTATTTAAATAAACTATTTACTAATGGTTAACTAACTTGCTTGCCGTGTCCAGAAGTACTCAGGCTCTCCGTATACGCCTTCATACGCCGTATTATCCGCCCGAATTCTGACGTAATATTCCGTGTAGGGTGACAGCCCCGTCACGGTCGCCCTCGTGACGTCACCCGTGACGTACACGTCGTTACCGTCCTCGTCACTGGCGTCGTCATCAACGTCGTGTTCTGCGTTACGGCTATTAACTTTCAGCTGGGAAAAGTGAAAGAAATTATAGCTATAATAACGTTAACTGCAACGTTAACTGCAACATTAACTGAATGTCAACTGCAACGTTAACTGCAACGCTAACTGCAACGCTAACTTCAACATTAACTGAACGTTAACGGCAGCGCTAACTGCAACGTTAACTGCAACATTAACTGCAACGTTAACTGCAACGTTAACTACAACATTAACTGCAACGTTAACTGCAACGTTAACTGCAACGCTAACTTCAACATTAACTGAACGGTAACGGCAGCGCTAACTGCAACGTTAACTGCAACGTTAACTACAACATTAACTGCAACGTTAACTGCAACGTTAACTTTAAGACACTCACATGGTACCCCTTAAGTGGACCCTTAAGGCGCTTATTGTCCAGGGGCGTCCAGAGCAGCACGGCTGAAGTGGCCCGCACCTCCCCAGCCCGCAGGGGGAACGGCGCTGCAGAGGGCGCTGAAAGTGGGTCAACAAGTGGGTCAACAAGTTGGTCAGCGTGTGTGTCAGAGTATGGGTCAATGAAAAGGTCAAAAAGTGGATCAGCAGGTAGTTTAGGTAATTAATTGTGTCATGAAGGAAGTGATAAAAGAAGCAAGTTAAATCCGAAAAATTATGAATTAGCCCCATGGTCTTCAACTAGCCCCCAGAGCCCTCACGAGACCCAGGGTCTCTTACTAGTACCAGGGTCTCAAACAAGCCCAAGGACTTCTACCAGACCCAGGGTCTCCCACTAGCCCCAGGGACTCCCACTAGACCCCGGGTCTCCCGCTAGCTCCAGGGTCCCCCACAAGCCCCAGGGTCCCAAATAAGCCCCAGGGTCCCCCATTAGACCCAGGGTCTCCCAATAGCCCCAGGGTCACAAACAAGCCTCAGGGTCTCCCACTAGCCCCAGGGTCTCTCACTAGCCCCAATGTCTCCAACTAGCCCCAGGGTCACAATCAAGCCCCATGGACTCCTTCTAGACCCAGGGTCTCCCGCTAGCCCCAGGGTCTCCTACTACCTTTACCCCAGGGTCCCCCCCCATTCCCAGGGTCAAGCAATTCCTCACGAGCTGGGGCAGTGGTAGCCACTCTGGTGGGGACGGGGTCGGGGCTGAGCCCCAGGGCGTTGACAGCGCGCAGCTTGACGAGGTAGTGGGTGTTGGGGAGCAGACCTGTCACGCGAGCCTCGGACTGTTGGGAAAAACACAGGGAACTTAGGAAATATGCCTTTTTAAATTAATGCAAATTATGGAAAATAATGCAACATCATACGATGTAACACGTCTGACAATGCAACACTTCTAACTTTTCAACGTCAAACAACAGGCGTTCAACTTTCATATAATTACATAAATCTTGATCACTAATATCAATACTTATTCAATTCATACCTCGTCACCATTAGTGATGACCTTCTTCTCCCACTGTTCTTCATCGTCATCAGAAACATCTTCGTCTTGCCCGTCATCTCCATCAGGGATCGTATCACCATCTTCGTCACCGTAGACGTGCATTTCATCGTCCTCAACCTCCCGCCACAGAACCTCGTACTGAAAACCTGGTCCTTGCTGGTCCTCTTCAGACACTGGCTGCAGGTTACGAACAGGTTATCAACAGGTTATCAACAGGCTATCAACAGGTTATCAATAGGTTATCAACAGGTTATCAACAGATTATCACCAGGTTATCAACAGATTATCATCAGGTTATCAAACAAGTTATCAACAGGTTATCAACCCTTGTAGCATGACAATCTCCTTCGGGCACCGGCTGAAGGTTATTTTATACAGGATATTAACAAGTTACATGATCATATAAAAATGTAAATTTACGACAGGATAATCTAATTTGTACAACGGTTGCAGGTTATTTACAGGTTATCTACACTTATCACATGGTAATCTTCTTCGAAAAACTGTTGCAGGGTTTTGAAAGAGACTGATGAGACTCCGCTGTCTTTACTTCGTCCATCTGATCTACTATGTCCGTTCAATCTATTTCGTCCCTCCAAACTACCCCTAGTCCTTCCAATCTACTCTGCCCATTGAATCTACCTCGTCCTTCCAATCTACTCTGCCCATTGAATCTACCTCGTCCGTCCAATCTACTCTGCCCATTGAATCTACCTCGTCCTCCATTGAATCTACCTAGTCCGTCCAATCTACTCTGTCCATTGAATCTACCTCGTCCTTCCAATCTACTCTGCCCATTGAATCTACCTCGTCCGTCCAATCTACTCTGCCCATTGAATCTACCTAGTCCGTCCAATCTACTCTGTCCATTGAATCTACCTCGTCCTTCCAATCTACTCTGTCCATTGAATCAACCTAGTCCGTCCAATCTACTCTGTCCATTGAATCTACTTCGTCCGTCCAATCTACTCTGTCCATTGAATCTACTTCGTCCGTCCACTGTACTTCGCCCGTTGACTCTCCATTCTCCTGTCCATATCTCCCTCCCTCCAGGCAAATGACATCGAAAAAAACGTTGACTAAAAGTAAGTTTCGTCGAAACGACGCAAATACAACGTTATTTCAACGTCAGAAGATTAACGATTGATTTGACATAATCAACGTTATTTTAAGGTCAGAAGATTGACAGTTGCAACGGTTAAATAACGGTTAAATAACGTTACCACGGTTAAATAACGTTATTTCAACGTCAAACGACTAACAGTTGAAATAACGCTTAAATAACGTTATTACAACGTCAGATGGCAGGTAAGTGACCACTGGTCCCCCAGTCTTCTGGACGCACCTCCCAGTTGAGCATGAGTGACGTGGCCCCGGCACCCTCAAGGGTGACGTTCGCGGGGTTGACCGCAGGGGGAGCGGGTGGTGTCGTGCAGTTCAGAACCGCACCTGGGGGCGACTCCCCCACGCGGTTCACTGCTACCACCCGGAAGCGGTACTCACGGCCGGGGCGAACCGAGACCTGCGTTAAGAATTGACAAATCTATTTATTTAGGGTCAAATGTTACGGTAGACGAATATATAACGGAGTAAATTGTGCCTAAAAATGTAATTAAATGTTTTTAATTTGGGATTGGAAACTATTTGTTCACTATAAATAAGTTTTGACAAAATAACATAGCAAAAATGAAACTGCATGCTTTTATTCGTGCAAAAAATGCATACAAGTATGTACATTAGTTTACTATTATTTTAAACAATGACATTATGCGCATATAGATTTCTCGAGATTAATTTTAATAAAAAATCAATTTCAGCGACATCGCTCTATATGCTCGGAATTTTTTATAAGCGTTTCGAACGTAGCAGTCCCAGGCCACGCTCGAGTGCCGCCCTAGTTTCTGGCTATCGTTTCATTTTGGTTGCATATAAAAACAAAATTTATTAATACAACGATTTCCAAAATAACTCCAATTAAAAAATGTTACAAGTGAGGCGACAATGAGAGCATCTTCTGACCCCAAATGCATGAAAATTTCGATTTTGATCACAATTTAGATAATAATAATGCAAATAAACACATTAACGATGTTCACTCTAGCATGCAGTAATTGCGACGTTGGTTTTACTCCAGTCGTCGCAACAGAAGTTGATTTTACTAGTTGCTGTTAATGTGAACTGAAATCTTAATTGTACAGATTTGATTCATGACTACATTTTATTTGACTGTAAAAGGGTGACATGGCTATAAATAATATTTGATATTTAAATTTACTTCAATTATTCTCGCAATTTAAAAAGAAGACAACCTTACAACCAAAATTATGACATCTTGGAATATGTTAAAGCCAGGAAAAATCAAATCCCAAAGAATTGACATTTTCACATACAATTAAAATAAAAATACCTTTCTTTGATTTATTTTTCATGCTGAACGATTCGTAATACAGCAAATAATAATTTTGCATGAAATACATTATTCAGTAAAAAATAACCACGTATAAAATGTTAGTAACTGCCAAACTTACATGTTTTTACCTGCTCGACATAATATGCAGCATAAACAACAGTAAATAAGGAATTGAATAAGCACATGCAAGTAACAGAGACCACAGAGCACATGTAAGTGATGCATAAGCAGTCATTTTCCTGAAGAGTGCAGAATGACAATACAATTGCTTATGTAATGCAACAATGCAATGAAAACTACAAAAATTGATAAAATGTGTCACTAATTTCAGAGACAATTGAGGTGTAATTAATTGTTCTTATTGCTGAGTAATAGTATACACTAATGCAGGGCGATCGTATTGAGATGAAACTGTAAAGCAAGCAACATTATAAGCGTGGAAGTGAACAGATATATGTACTGAAAAAACTGGATAAAGTTAGAGATTCTAAAGATCAATCATAAAAAAAATTAATTTAAATGGAAAAAATTAGATTGAAATCGAAAATAATGTATTTTTGCTCTGGAAAAAGTACAACTCGGGTACCAAAATTTAAGTTTCACAATAGAATAATATTTTTTGTGCAGCGGAGCTTCGTGCCTTCAAAAATAGGTTAAAAGAAAATGTAAAATTAAAAATACAATCGCAAAATGTAACGCATCCAAAAATTTTTTTTTTTATTATTACTATTATTGAAAAAAACGTCTTGTTAAAAATAATCCACCAAACAATAAATTTCTCATTGTCCAAGTTTATTGCGTAAAAATGTAGGGAAAATTTTACGATTTAAGTAGATTCGTAAAACTTAAGCATGGCTGCCGAAACTCTACGGACGAGCCAAACTTGAACATGCGTCAAGTCTTAGCTTACGCTTATAATCTCAGAAAGCGTATAATCCTCAAATCCTGACAAACGCAGGAATCTCAATGAACGTCCTAAAGCTAAGCAAACGCGCCAAATTCATACGGACGTGACTAAAATCAGAGTGCTTGCCAAATATCAGCAAACATGACGGAACAGCGTGCTTGCGCTTAACTTGACCAAACTGCGCTTGCATGGCAAATATCAGCAAACTTGAGCAAATTTCTGTGTGCATTCCCAAAAACCGCCTGCGTGCTAAATGTCGGTCGGCTAGCTTAATAGCATGTTAGTCAAATCTAGACGTGCTTGCTTTATCTCGCTTTTTGTGCCAAATCTAGACACGCTTGCAAAGTCCCATCGTGCTTATCTAAGGTCATTGATATTGTCTAAATTCAACGTGTGTCTGTTAACTTCAGCTAAGTACGTGAACGCTCATAAGGGTAACGTGACTGATCTTTTCTGCGTTATTCGTCACGAATTGTGTAAATTGAGCTCAAAATTAATCTTTCTGAATCGGATACTAAAAAGCAACATTAGCTTCATAATCCCATACCTTATGCGATAGCACTGGTGTCGGTTAAAGGCAATCGTGCTCTATGTTTAAAGTGCATCGCTACGCAGAACTCGGTCCGGTTACACCGACTTCTGTTCTATTTAACACGTTGAGTGCTGCACACCACCGGTGGGTTACAGGGTTGTTTTTTTTCAGACAAATTCTATGATTTAGTTTTATTCCATTGCGTTGGCCGGCAAAAAATCCATGGTGGCGGTATTTCATTAATAAATATAAAATAACGAAAAAATTAAAATTTAATTTTTGAACCGGAACCTACAAATTTACTAGTAAATATAGAATTAAAGGCCTTTTTCCGCGGACTTCCCTGTTTTTAGGTCATCTGGCAACCCTAGTGAGTCGTATCGCACTCAACGTGTTAAGTGAGGGGGACTTGATAATTTACAGTGTGGGTGGCTAAAAGGGACATCACTATAGATGGATTTCATGTATTATAATCTATGCCATATAATACTGTGGTATCACAGTATTATATGGCATCTCGAGTTTTTTTTTTTTTTTGTGGTATGACAGAATTGACAGGCCATTGAAGAGAGTGGACAGGCGGGCGGACAGACTGGACAGATGTGTGAAGAGACGTGACGGGTGGGAGGACAAAATTGACAGGCGCTTGAAGAGACTTGACGGGCGAGAGGATAGAATTTGTTGGCTTGTGAAGACTTGACTGGCCGGAGGACAAAATTGGCAACGTAGGTGTAAAAAAATTGACAGGCGGAACAAAAGTGTTAAGACAATTGACGGGAGAAACCAATGATTTATCAAGCAAGAGAACAGAATTGAAGGAAGTAACAGAGAAGTTGACTGGTTGAAGGACAGAATTGAAGGGGACATGAGAAACAAAAGATTTGACAGGAAAGAAACAAAAAAATGGACAGGCTAGAGGACAATAGATGCATAACGAGATAATAAGACGGCACAAGTTAGAAAGTGCGCAAAACATGAGGGCGATGTTAGTGAGGAGAGGGCAGCAGAAAGGAGATGAAAACGGCAGATATGAGATGATGGCAAATAGGGGTGGATCGAAAAAGTGAGAGAACGTCAGAAGAGAGAGGAGGTCAGAAGAGATGGTTATACAGCAGAAGAGAGATGGTGGCAGAGAGGAAGGGTAGACGGCGTAAGTGAGAAAACAGTAGAAGGGAGGGATAAACGGCAAACGTGGAAGGACTACAGAAATGAGAGAACGGTTGAAGGGTGGGTAGACGCAAAAGGGAGAGATTGAAATTAGAAGGGAGAGATAAAGGGAGAAAAGAGAAATACACAGCAGAAGAGAGAGACAGACACGAAAAGAGAGGGATACATGGCAGAAGAGAGGACAGCAGGAGGCAATGATAGAAGGCAGAAGTAAGAACCCTACATGCGGAAGGGAAGACAGCAGATGTGACGGGAAGAATAAGGAAGAGTAGACAACAGAAAGGAGGGGTGCACGGCAGCCTTTCAAACCAAGCAGAAGCAGGGGAAAGACAACATAAATGAGAGGACAGCACAAAGGAGGGGAGAAGCGGAGAGAAGCACAAAGAAGGGAGGGGAAGACAACAGAATTAACGGGAATAAGTAGGGAGGGTAGACGGCAGAAGGGAGGTATAGAAAACAGAAAGGAGGGGTGCACGGAAGAAATTCGAAGGTTCAACAGCAGAAGTGACGGGAGGAAGGCATATTTTAGGGAGAGAGAGAGAGAGAGAAGTAGTAGGATAACGGCAGCAGGGAGAATAGTACGGCGGAAGTGGTAAGAGAACGGCCAATAAAGAGGGTGAGTGGACAAGCAAAGGTGAGGACAGTGAGGGTTGGTACTCACGATTGCGGTGGAGTGTACCCTTGCCTTGATGAGGGAGGAACAGGGTGAGGGTAAAGTTGTTAGTTGAGAAAATTTTAAGGCTTGGGTGAGAATTTTAGATGGTTGAATAAGAGGTCCGGATGCTCGAAAGGTTTTGAGGGGATTATCATAAGCGTTAAACTGAGTGAGGTAAAAGGGACCAATTTAATATTTAATTCATTGGAATGTGATAGAAAAAACCAAAACTATCATTTAGAGTCAATAATCAGTCGCCAAATTGTTAATGCTCTAGGAATAATAACACCAAATGAAGATGGATAATTCAACCCCTAATAATGTAGTATTCGTAATTTTACGGATGAATTTTAAGCTTTCGCATTTTGATGTCCTTGAGCTTCACAAAGGTGTGTGATGCGAATATTAGATAATGTTTCTTATAATAATAGTATTGGAATAAGGATGAAAACTGGTCACACAAACGAGAAAGTTAAATCAATCTAAATATTGCAAAATCATAGGCTACACTCAAATAAATGACTGAGTCGTATTGTTCAAATATTTACAATTTTTCTGCACGCAACACTGCGATACGTCCTATTTCCGGTCTAAACTGGGCCAGAAAGGGCCACTCGCGTGCACAAATTGCATCGATATTCGAAAAAAGTCTCACTCATTTCTCGGAGTGTAACAACTTCTTTAGTGTTTGATGTTTTAAAAACTTTCAAAAAACTGCTTTATGATTGCTCAATACTGAAACCTGCTAGAGAAGTGTTTTATTTGTATTACAACCTAAATTTAAGCAAATCAATCAACTCGTAGAACGGGATATATCCCGTAATATTTTATGTTGTTTGAACCTGAAAGATCTGAAATAATAATTTTACGCGTCATCACGATGCTCATACCTGAACCAAATTCTCGCTAGCGTTGAGAATTCGTACAAGCAAGCAAGATTCGAAGTTCTCTACAACGCTAGAGTAGGAGTTCTCTACAACGCTAGAGTAGGAGTCATCTACAACGCTAGAGTAGGAGCTCTCGAGTTCTCTACATCGCCAGACTAGGAGTCATCTGCAACGCTAGAGTAGGAGTTCTCGAGTTCTCTATATCGCCAGACTAGGAGTCATCTACAACGCTAGAGTAGGAGTTCTCGACAACGCTAGAGTCGGGGTTCTTGAGTCATCTACATCTCTAAAGTAGGAGTTTCGCGAATTCTCTACAACGCTAAAGTCGGAGTTCTCGAGTCATCTACATCGCTAGAGAAGGAGTTCTCTACAACGCTAGAGTAGAAGTTCTCGAGTCCTCTATATTGATAGCACATTATTTGTATTCAAGACACTGACCTATCGACAATAGCTTAACAGCCGAAAGAAGTCAACCTATAATTTTGCACTGCGTTATATGTTACATACAGTATATCCGTGGTTTCTATCAATTGAAAAATACACCGACTTTTTTTTACATACACTGACTTTATACGAATAATATTTTTGCCACTTTATGCATTGATACTTTGCTATCTTGTTCTGAATTCAGTTCGATTTTTTTATGACAAGCTAATGTTAAGGATCAGTCTTTGAGACTTCTCTCGATAATTGATCTAATTTATAGAAGGAAAATGTCAAGAAAAAAATATGATTGCATGTATGATCATTACCCGATTTCAAAGTCACGTAACCAAAATTTATTCTGCTAAAATAAACAAGTTTCCAACTTTGTGGCAAATTCGACAGTAAATGGAATGAAATAATTCAAGGTTACCATTTTAAACGGATTTTAAGTGTAATAAACGCGCTATTTTCAGTCTAATCAAAATTAATAGGACTAACTGAAAGCGGATGAGAGGAAACTTCAAGGACAAATTAAGATGGAAATTAATTAGGCTTAACGGGTATTTGACAGGCGAGAATATTTTTGATGACAATTAACTATACTCGTGCATTTAAATCAAAATAAATGGCGGAATAAAATTGCCACCATGCGAAACCTTGGAGATTTCACAAGTCGAGAAAAATTGTTCAACAAACAAGTTTTCCATTTGCAAACAAATAATATTTAAAAAATAACATTTGTACAGATCCTATCACAATTAACGTGCCTAGCAGATTCTGGCACGGTGACGCGATAGGCTCGCCTAGCATGTAAATTAACGGCTCACTATATGTCCTCGTTTCGTTATATTTCGGCGAATGAACTAAGAACTCAAACCGCAGCTGCCATCACATCGATAGATGGAATAAGCTATAAGCAAACCTCTTAAAATCAATTACTGCGCATCATCCAAGAATGTTTTCTGTAACAGCCTCCCTGATAGCATCGTTGACGCTCCGAGTATGAACATCTTCAAAAACAGACTAGACGAAGCTATGCAGGAGCATATGTTCAGTCTTAAAATGCCTAGCAACTTACGGACCAAGCAATAAGTCCAGCAGCTATCTCAATCAATCGTCAGCTATGGAAAGATCGAGTTCCAAAGGCCGGATCCCTTGTGAATCAAGTCACGAGAAGTTCAAGAATCGGCAACAGGCCTATTTCTTCAATGTCGACACTTTTATTCTATTCTATCACAACTCATTTATCGTATTCGACAGTCATTCGAAACAGGAGTTGATCCCACGAGTGGAAAACCGCACTCGTCTGAATGATATTGGCATAATCGACGTTAATCCGACAGGTGCTCAAAGCCTTTAGGTGTTTATAGGCACAGTAGGCGTTAATCTCACAAGTGGAAAACCATACTCGACTGAATGATCAGATATTGGCACAATAGACGTTGATCCGACAGGTGCTCCAACCTTACTAGACTGAATGATATTGACACAATAGACGTTGATCCGACAGGTGCTCCAACCTCACTAGACTGAATGATATTGGCAAAATAGGCGTGGATCCCTCAAGTGGACAACCGCACTCGACTGATTGATATCTTTACAGGTTGGTTCTCGCTGAGTTACGGGATGCAGTGGCATGCGACTATATTGGAATTAATTACGGAAGACACGGATCTGTATAAGACTCAACTACTTGAAGACTGCTAGCGTAAGTTTACTTACCCTATGTCAAAATATGACTCGAATACAATAATTAAAATGAAAAGTTTGACTTTAGGATTATGCTACTGAAAAAAGGGTACAACATCATTATCAATTCGAGACACATTCAAGATTAAATTGGGAACTGACCCTACAAAAATAGGGCAGAGGCAACCGCATGCACGTCTATTCTAATGGATAAAATTACATTGCAATATGAAAAGGCATGCACATAACTAACTAATCCCTCTGAAGGGTTCAAGCCAGAACCCAGTTAAACCGCGGTTCAAGTAAGCTATCTTCCAAAATCCTGTTTCCAAAATATGAAGAAATTCAAACTAGAACGAGCAGTTCAATAGCCTCTCCCTTTACTCAGCAAATTCGGTATGATTACTCGCATAAGAAAAACGACGTTCTCTTCTGTAACATTTTCCCGGTGCACCTACGAAAAATCAACGTTACCGTTCTGTTTAACAATTTTGAAACAAATTGAATAAAAAATATATTAATCCAAAATTCGTCTATACTGTGCGAATGTAGTTACAAGCATCCCTCAATATATGCGAGTAAATGTTCTCAAACATGTAATGAATATGGAAAATGTTTGTGAGAATAGTAGTCTTGTATGCCTCGAATTTGCATCATTTAAATGTTGAACATAGTTTTTGAAATCATATTTTATTATACTGAAAAATAAACATACAAATATGTATAAATAAACCAGTTTTGAATGAATGCTCAATTACTTTTAATTCTCATTCGATAGAAAGTAGCATCCATCATATGCTATCAATACTTATAGCTCTAAAAAGTAAAATCAATCTCATCAATCCCGATTTTTACGAAAAATTCAAATGACTTTGTCTCGTCTGCAGGTTGGCACTTCTCGTTCATGGTGATTATTATTAACTAAATGTTTCAACCAATTGTCACTTCTGCTAGCCAATAATTGTCATCAATGATTGTCACAAAAATTACCGAGATCAGACACTTGACATCAGTAGGGAACGGCTTCGTCCGTAGCCTTAACAGCGTCAGCAGACAACGCATACTGTAACCGTCGACAACGCTTTTCATATACCCAAAACCCTATAGTAACTAGAGTTACTGTAAATTAACTAAGGGTTCAGCTAGAGCTAGAGAATTTGCAGATAACTAGGAATTCCTCTGACAACCCCAAGAAAAGTAAAAAGTTACTGTCAGTTGACAAAGGGTTCATCTAAAGAGAGAATAGATAACTAAATATTCCTCTAACAACACCAAGAAAAATAAGACATGGTCCATATTAACCTCGGCGGAGTGTCTGCCGCTGTCCAGTTCGTCCTGGGCTTCCTTCCACTGGTCGTGGTGGAGGTCGGTGTCGTACAGGATCTTGAAGGAGAGGATGGGGGCGTGATGCTCCCCGGCCCCCCTCCACTGCAGGAGCGCCGACTCCCCCTCGCAGTCTAGGGACGTGAGGGTGGGGGCGGCGGGTACATCTATTGCGAAACATATATGTTTTACGTTAGTTTAGGGGCGTCTTGGATGTCTATTTACAAAAATAAAATGAAGGACGTCGGTGTTGGGGCAGTGGGGACGTCTTTGTTCGAAAATATAATGGGGACTTCAGTGTTGGGACGTTAGAGACGTCTTTGTATGAAAAGACAATACTTGTCTTCGTACGTTTTTGTATGAAGAGGCAAATGGAGGTCAGTGTTAAGAGTGCTAAGACGTCTTAGCACAAACCGACGATGATTCAACGATGACCAGATTATTATGCACGTCAATACCAGTCCTTATACACGTACCCTCGACCATGACGATGAACCCGTCACGTACCCTCGACCATGACGATGAACCCGTCACGTACCCTCGACCATGACGATGAACCCGTCACGTACCCTCGACCATGACGATGAACCAGTCACGTACCCTCAACCATGACGATGTACCCGTCACGTACCCTCGACCATTACGATGAACCCGTCACGTACCCTCGACCATGACGATGACCCCGTCACGTACCCTCGACCATGACGATGAACCCGTCACGTACCCTCGACCATGACGATGGCGTTGTCCTGGCGGTCGTCGACGGCGGTGACGGCAGCACAGCTGTACACGCCGGAGTCGGGGCCGTGGGAGGCGCTGATGCTGAGGCTCACAGAGACCTCCCCTGCTGGGGGGGGGGGGGNTGTAATGACTACAAGTTCTGATATTGTAATGACTACAAGTTCTGATATTGTAATGCTTGCAAGTTCTGACATTGCAATGCTTGCAAGTTCTGACATTGCAATGCTTACAAGTTCTGATATTGTAATGCCTACAAGTTCTGATATTGTAATGACTACAAGTTCTGATATTGTAATACTCACAAGTTCTGATATTGTAATGACTACAAGTTCTAGAATTGTAATGCTTACAAGTCCAGATAAGGTAATACTTGGATTGATGTTATCCAGCATTTTAAACTATTTCATTACATCGAAGTACTGTACTGCGAAATAAATCGAACTATACAGAATCGATTACAGTGCTTTTGATGAATTGAATTGTACAGAATTTAAATTTAGGACTATTTCTTCGAGGAATAATTGAAACTAAGTCAATAAAAGTGAGTTACAACTTTGAATTTGATCGTCAGGTATGACATCTCACCGTCTTCTGAGGTCTCGTCGGTGACGTGGATCCTGTCATCGTCGTGCACGTTGAGTTCCTCGTCATCTTTGCTCCACGTGACGTCGACGTCGAGACGAGGGTCGTGCGTCACGTTGCACGTCAGACGTGTGACGTTGCCAGCCTTCACGACCTCAGATTCTGCTGTCAACGTCACTGACGTTGGCGCTGCCGCATAGAATACGTCACATTTTAGGGTAAATAATACTAATAATACCTCATATTTTAAGGTACAAAACACACAAAATACCTCATTTTAGGGTAAAAATACAATGCGACACATTTTAGGGTAAATAAATTATACTTTGCCTTTTAGCGTAAGAAAAATTTGTAAAAACGCACTCAATAAAATAAGTTAGTCTGAGTGAAATAAATGCGTCCAATGAAAGTTTAAATTGCAAATATTTGCTATAATTGCGATTCGCGGACATCTAAAGGGTACTCGATTACAATATGGCGCGGTACACTCAGAAAAATATGCACAACTTTGTCCATGCAAATAGCGGTGCACCCGTCTGCTCTTATGTGAGTCATCCTGACCCAGTTTGACCCGGTAAAAGGGCGTATCAGTGCTACGAGCTCTCTCTGCTCGTGCTGTTGGTGACAAGGTGTGTAAATATTTGATAATAAACCTATTAATTTTTTTGAGTGTAGAACTCACTTCTGCTGTGGATGGCGGCAGTGGCGGCCACTTGTCCATATTTGTTGGTGGCCACACAGCGGTAGGTGCCCTCGGTGACCGCCGACACAGACCTCGGGGGGGAGGATACATGACTTATACAGCTGTATATTGAAAACTTTACGATAGTCGTAAGTGGACATCACACATTATACAGAAAATTTTACGGTGGTCGTATATGGACCACACACTTTATACAGAAAATGTTCCGGAGATTATAAGTAGACCACACAATTCATACAGCTGGATACTGAAAATTCTATTATGGTCGTAAATGGACCACACAATTTATACAGCTGTATACCGAAAATTCTATTATGGTCGTAAATGGACCACACAATTTATACAGCTGTATACCAAAAATTCTATTATGGTCATAAATGGACCACACAATTCATACAGCTGTATACTGAAAATTCTACCACATTCGTAAATGGACCACACAATTCATACAGCAGTATACAGAAAATTCTACTATGGTCGTAAATGGACCAGACAATTCATACAGCTGTATACTAAAAACCTCGTAAATTGACTAATTTTAATACGTAGAATTGTATTGACGTGTGTGATTGACAGAATTATACCATTTAAATGAAGAATATCTCAATATATGTGGATTAACACTTTTATTCATGCGTAGAAAAATATTCTTGGAGATCATCATTTGTATTATCATTCATAATTGGCAGTATTGGAAAAATGTGCACTATTAGAACAAAAGTTTATCAAAATATCCTCGATACGACACATGAATGAAGAAATGGAACAAGGCAAGAAAATGTGCATTGTGTTAAAAGTTAAGAAATGTGCATTGTATGAGAGATAACGAAAAATATCTACCCGCGATAACGAAATGCTGAAGAGAATTTGATATTTATCGCTGCAAACCGGCGCCATGGGAAGAGTGTATTAAGATATAAAGTTGATAAATGATAATTGATAAATGATAAAAAGGTTCATAAGGATAATTACAGCTGAGTTTTATCCAGCCTAAATCCTTGTCCACGAACGTAAAATCAATCTGATTAAAAATATAACTCAGCAGTCACTGCAGTGAGTGACAGAGAGCGCATTTTCTCGTCGACGAAAACTTGAGGTCACGGACGGACAGACAGACGGACAGACAGACGGACGGACAGACGGACATGATGAGCACAATACAGGCATTTTTTCCATAAATGAGAAAATGCGCTAAATAGTCATAAGATGAGATTAACTAAAAATTTACTTCGAGAACAACTAGCTGCGTTTTCAAAAATGTTAATGTTTTTACTGGGGCAACAACCGACTAACCTGATGACAAGCTGTCCATCGCTGATCTCGTACAGATCATTCGTAATTAACTCTTCCCCTTCAGCGCCATCTTCTTCCTCCTCCCCTTCATCCCCGTGTTCTTCCCCTTCTTCCTTGTCGTGTTTGGCATCCCCTTCATCCCCCTCGCCCCCGTGGCCGTTCCCGTGATCCCCATCGTCCCCGTGGACTTCCCCGTCATCCCCATCGTCCCCGTGGCCGTTCTCGTCATCCCCGTGGGGGATTTTGTACCACGCAATATCGGGTTTAGGGGAGCCGTACGCCCCGCATTTGAGGGAGACGGAACTCCCCTCTAAGGTTAGGGAGTCCGCGGGACTTTCCTCAAACTCCGGGGGCATTGCTGGGGGAAAAGTTATTTCAATTTACAATTATGGGGAATATATCTTGAAAAAAGTATATTAAAATAATGAATAGGGTTGATAGTATCTGTTATCCCCGTCGTCAATGCTTTTCGTACCTAAAGTTGAAGATTATTACTACCAAAAACAAATGATAAACATATTTCATGACTATTTTATTCAAAAGTATTCTTTTACGTGAAAGTTTAGAATTATCATCAAACTATCATCCTGCTTTATATAGACTCTTTAATGATAGTGCTTTCTCACTATGAGAAATGAATGAGACTTTGTCCAAATAGTGATGCACTTTTTCGCGCTTATGTAGGTCATCCTGACCCTTTTTTACTCAGACGAAAATACATTGCTACGTCCGCTCTCTTCTGATGCTGAAGGTAAGAAAGAGTGTCGCTATTTGGACAACACATGACCCATGTATTTATCTGAGTGCACGCTACGTACAAAGCACGTTGAGGAAGGCCGTGCTGTACGTGTAGCCGTGTACGTTGGATACGTTGCACGCAATCACGCTCTTATCTTCCGTCCTCAGCGACGTAAACTCGATCTAAAAACATGAAAATTTATCAGGTTTGAAAATTTTTCTTCCCACAAAATTTATTCATGAAACTTAAAGACAGTTGATTAAAGAACTTATGTTTAAAACAGTATCAAGCTTTACAAATTTGTCCACTGTAAAGAAATGCTTCATATTTAAGAAATAAAATAAAAAAACGCAACCGTCAACCCCCACCGTCTCGCCCCCCGGGAAGGGGACGCCGTCCCTGGTCCAGCTGACGGAGGGCTTGGGCTCCCCGCGTCCCCGACAGGTGAAGGAGGCCGTCTCCCCCATGGGGAGGCTCACGTCCTGCAGCTCCTCCTCCAGCACGGGGGCCGCTGTGGGGAAAGCGAGGGTGGGGGTGGGGATAGTGGGTAAGGGTAATGAGGGGGGGAGGCGTTGGGATAACCCCACGGTAATTAGCGGAAAATTCAGCAGCGTTTCAAATTCCTCAAAAATATTTACAAAGCGCTAAACTGACATAATCCAACTTCTGGTGTAATATAACTTGACCCAACCTAACCCTACAACCTAACCATACAACCTAACCCTACAACCTAACTCCACAACCTAACCATACAACCTAACCCCGCAACCTAACGCCGCAACCTAACTCCACAACCTAACCATACAACCTAACCCTACAACCTAACGCCGCAACCTAACCATACAACCTAACCATACAACCTAACCATACAACCTAACCCCACAACCTAACCCTACAACCTAACCATACAACCTAACCCTACAACCTAACTCCACAACCTAACCATACAACCTAACCCCGCAACCTAACCATACAACCTAACCCCACAACCTAACCCCACAACCTAACGATACAACCTAAGCCCACAACCTAACCATACAACCTAACCATACAACCAAACCATACAACCTAACCCCACAACCTAACCATACAACCTAACCCCACAACCTAACCCCACAACCTAACCCTGGGCGCCACTCACCCCCTGACCACGTGGGCGCCATTCACCCCCCGACCACGTGGGCGCCATTCACCCCCCGACCACGAGGGCGCCACTCACCCCCCTGACCACGTGGGCGCCACTCACCCCCCTGACCACGTGGGCGCCACTCACCCTCCACGTTGACCCTGAAGGCGTGGGTGCCGCCGTCCCCCGCGGGGTTGTGGACGTGGCACGTGTAGACGCCCTCATCGTCAGGGGCGACGGGGCTCACGCGCAGCACAGACTCCGTGGACGACAGAACTTGCGCCCCGCCCCCCCGCCCCTGCACCGTCCACCGCACCGTCGGCGTCGGCCTGGTCGTGGTGGTGGTGATGGTGGTGGTTAGGGTGGTTGTGGTTGTGGTGGTGGTTATGGTGATGGTGATGGTTATGATGAAGGTGATGGTTATGATGATGGTGATGGTTATGGTGATGGTGATGGTGATGGTTATGATGATGGTGATGGTTATGATGATGGTAATGGTGATGGTTATGATGATGGCAATGGTCATGATTAAGGTGATGGTGATGGTTATGATGATGATGATGGTTATGATGATGGCAATGGTTATGATGAAGGTGATCGTTACAATAGTCAACAAGACAAACGTCAGTAGATAAAATGAAGCTAGATAATAAATAATCTACTCACACGCCCGAGTNGATGATGGTGTACGTCACCATGATAATGTACGTTACTATTGGTACGTCACTATGATAATGGATGGTACGTCACTATATGAACATCACCATGACAATGGTACGTCACTATGATGATGGTACGTCACCATGATAATGTACGTTACTATTGGTACGTCACTATGATAATGGATGGTACGTCACTATTTGAACATCACCATGACAATGGTACGCTACTATTATGATGGTACGTCACTATGATGATGGTACGTCACCGTGATAATGGTACGTCACTGTGATAATTGTAACTGAATCAATAAAAAATATTCCATTTACATTAACGCTATTGAAATGAAACTGCAAGTAAATCTGAACACAATACGGAAAGAATTGAACGCTTGGTCAAAAAGTAGACTAATAATCAAAGAAAAAAACAACAAAATCAATAAAAATAAAACGAAAATCAGGAAAACGTATGCAACGTAATAATTAGAGGAATTTAATAGTGGAAAAAAATGCGATTTGTTTTTTAAGGGATTCAAGCGCGTAAAAATAAAGAGTAAAAGTGCAAATGAAGGGAGAGCAGGAAAGCCCAGGGGCCATACTTTCAAAACTCGCTAAGTAGACGTAAGTACTTACGTTCTATTTTCTTGTCTATGATTGGTGGATTTGGCTTGAAAGGCCGTCAATGATTGGCTGATGAACTTACGATCTCTTAACTTATTTTGAAAGTATAGGCCCTGGAAAATAATTTTCAATGAATATCGAGACATGTGTTATTGACTGGATATCGGTAAGTGCGATATTTACAGGAAATATGGAGATAGGATATGGACTGGATATCGATACGAGCGATATTTATGGGAAATATGGAAATGGGATATGACTGGATATCGGTACGAGCGATATTTATGGGAAATATGGAGATGGGATATGGACTGGATATCGGGACGTAGTGTATGTACAGGAAATATGGAGATAGGATATGGACTGGATATCGTACAGGCGATATTTATGGGAAAAATGGAGATAGGATATGGACTTTACATCGCGGGGGGNGGGGGGGGGGGGGCGCGCTAATCCCCCACAACGTGGGGGTGATTGTCCTGTGACTAATTAGATTGGGGAAGGCAGCAGTTAAGGATGTGGCAGATGGGGAACAAAGTAGCTGGGTGGAGATAAGGTTGGGGAAGATGGCAGCTGGGGAACATGACAGCTGGGGAACATGTCAGTTGGGTGGGGATAAGGTTGGGGAATATGAGTTAAGGAACAACAGCTGGGGAGTATATCAGCAGGGGAATGAAACAAGTGGGGAAGAGACTGCAAATAAGTGTGTCACCTAACACACTATAGGGATAAGTGTGTCACCTGAGTGTGAGGCCTTCCCACAGCGTGGGGTCGTTGCTACATCCCCACAGGGGAAAGAAGGGGAGAGGGGTGGGAGGAAATAAAAGGATGAAAAATAAAAAGGGAGTTTTTCGAATGAGTGAAAGAAAAACGAATATAAAACAGGAGAAGAAGCAGGAGAAAATTAGATGATTGGAGCATAAAATAAAGTGTGATGAAGAAATGAGGGGAAGAAAAGTGAAGGGAAGAACTCGTGGGGAGGACGACGTCGATACCCCAGCAGGTGGAACAAAAAAATTAATAAATTAAATACAAAAGATTAAATCAAAATCTCGTCATCCATTGTGTGAGAATAACTGAAAACAGCGAAAAATTTAGGCAAAATTAATTTAAAAATAATTAAAGAGCATAATACACACAAAATTAATGCTACACACACTCTTTATGATCGTCACAAAGACATTAGATATATAAATTTATATCAACCAATAGCATTGGGGGAAAACTAAGAACAAAACTAAAATAACTTATCCAATGGCAACAAGACCGGGTAAGATATAGGTTACAATCACTAAATTGTAACCTAAATTTAGGTTACAAATCATTGCCGCATTAAAAACATACAATTGATTGTATCGTAATCTTAAAAGTTTTGAACTGATAATATATGTGATCACCGAAACATTTCCGATGATATCGATATCGTCACCACATTGAGGAAGATATGATGAATGTACTTGGCATATCACATGTGCACCATGAGACCAGGTTAAAATTCTTCACACAAAATAAATATTGATAATGTCTCCAGCCAAATACCAAAATGGGAAGTTATTTATTGAAGAATCACAACTTACCTGATTCTCACTCACAAAAAAAAAATATTCATATTAAAGTAAGTAACAAATAATTCACCAGTATTTCGAAGGCTTAAACTGTAAAAAGCGGGAGAAGAAAGTTAGAAAAACTGTTACCAAAATGCTACCAGGATAATTAATATGATATTATCTGTTTAAAATTAAATACAACCAAAGTTAGAAGAATATTCTTACATTAGAACCACCACGCCACCAAGGTTAGATACTTATTCATATACAATGAAACCATAACGCCACCAAGGTTAAAATAATATTATTACGATAAAACCACAACGTCAAGAAGATAACAATAGTCATACAATAAAACCACAACGCCACCAAAATTACAACTATATTTTGAGGTTAAAAACACAACGATATCCAGATTAGAAGTATATTCTTACATTAAAACCGCATAGCTACCAAAACAGTTTTCAAGAAGCCACCGGTTAACCTTAACCCTTTACCGCCGTATGTAACTTTCCGGGAACATAACTTTCAACTTAAATTATACGTTAACTATTGAGTGTAGCAACCTGAGGACGTTTGTATGCAAAAGAGAACATTTAAAAGTTGTCGTAAGTGGCGGCAAATTATACGTAATCTATTGAGTGTAGCAACCTGAAGACGTTAGTACGCAACAAATAACATTTTAAAGAGAGAGAACATTTAAACCATCAGTGCAAGTTATTTTGCGCTCACTAGAACGTATCCTTTTTGGGAAGTAGGCGCGTGGCAATATTGCTCCGGTTACTCATGTCAGGCGGTAGAGGGTTAAAAATTAATACGCAGAAATGTAAAGCTGCCGCATAACCGTTTACCACCACGGCTAACGTATTACCACCGCGAATGGAACGTGTTATGAGTGTGACAGTTAGCCACAATACGTCACATGTGCAACATGTGTGTTAGCCACAATACGCCACAACCATTATCACCAAACGTTTGTAGTGACACAGAGAATGGTGTCACCAACAAATATAACGTTAGTTACGGGATGGTGATGGAGGTGACGTCATCATCAGTGACGTCACAGCTCCCGTCGGCCGCAGGCTTGACGTCAGTGACGCTGAGGTCGCCCTTAGCGTCACGCACGACGTACAAATCGTGCGCGCTGGTGAACGTTATTAATGCATTTAATACTTAGTTTAATGCTAGTTTTATACTTTAATTATGCATTTTTTCCCTTGTGTGGGTCACGCTGACCTAGTTTGGCCCGGTAAAATGACGTCCGCTTTTTATTCGTGCTGTAGGTAAGAAAGTGTCACTAGGTTGACAATATAAATATATAATTATATATAATAATATAATTATTAATATAAATAAATTAATAATTCATCGCTTAGGGTGAAACATAGAAATAGGTAAACTCCCCATCGGGGCACAAAAAAATTGATATAAATAAAAAATATGACGATAACTCTAAGGATATTGTGTAAATAACTTAATCAATGAATGGAATACGCACTGCCTCTCAACTGGTGACAGCAATAAATGCTTAAAAACTATGCTTTACATTCACATTGTCATTAACTACATAGATAATTTCCCGTTTAACGCTACAGGCCTGAAAACAGAGGAGGCTGCCCATACGTAAACTATTTAGATAATAATACCCATTTCTTTTTCTCAGAGCATAGACAACTATGAACATTTAAAAAAATAAACAGCTATAATAACGTGAAAAATTATACATAATATTTTATTATTGACGCAACACACATGCATCCTCTGTGGCGTTCGACGCAATATAATTACTTCTTAATAAATTAATACTTAAATAGCCATAATTAAGTATTGATGATAGTTAAATAATAATAATTACCACAACACACGTGGTAGCAGAAGATGCGTCCACGGTGGCGTCTCATTATAATTAATTAGACTCATTTATTACATTATAATTAATTAGTAAAAAAAACAATAATCAAATAATGATAATTAACTAACAATAATCAAATAATAATAAATGTTAATTAACACGACGTACCTGGTAGCAGATGAGGCGGCGCAGGCGTAGAATGCGTCATCAGTTGCGTCAGACGCATTATAATCAATTTGCAATAAATTAATAATCAAATATTGATAATTAACTAATAACAATCAAATAAATGTTAATCAAACACGACGTACCTGGTGGCAGATGAGGCGGCACAGGCGTAGAATGCGTCTTCAGTTGCGTCAGACGCGACGACGTACGCAAAGCGCAGCGTACCCGCGCCGTCGATGGAGATACGCGAGTTCTCCAGGTTACGCAGCCCTCCGTCCTCTGACTGAATAAACATTAATAATTAATAAATTAATAAGTAATAAATTAATAATTAATAAATTAATAATCAATAAATTAATACTTAATAAATTAATAGTTAATAAATTAATAATTAATAGATTAATAATTAATAAATTATTAATTAATAAGCCAACAGTTAATAAATTATTAGTAAATATTATTAGATATCAATAAAAATCAATTATTCAATTAACAATAGACAATTACATATTAATCAGTAATTATTCATTAATAATGTTATTTATTATTATTATTAACAATTAATAATCAGAAAATAATAAATAACAATTAAAAAATATTTTAAAATTTTTTATTCGGTAATTGAGTGAAGATACGACTGCGGTGGATTTAGTAGCTATAAATTAAAAATTAACAACTATTCAATACTTTTAATTAATTTATTATGATGAATAGTATTTATGAATTGATGAATTTAGCTATACTTAGTAAATGATGAATAGTTTATTATATATGAAGGGACTAGCAGCCAGGTGGTGGAGGGGGGGGGGTGGCCCACTAGGGGACTGACCTGCAGCAGCCAGGTGGTGGAGGGGGGCGGGTGGCCCACTGGGGGACTGACCTGCAGCAGCCAGGTGGTGGAGGGGGGCGGGTAGCCCACTGGGGGAGTGCAGGGGAGGGTGAGAGGTTCCCCCAGGTTGAGGGTGACCACGCGGGCGTCGAGGGAGGGGAAGTACCCCAGCAGGGAACGTCGCAGCACAGCCACGTCCGTGTACAGTACCCCGGCGCTGTTGTTGGCCACGCATTGGTACGTGCCTGCGGGTGACGACGGTACCAATCATTTTTCTGAGTGTACATTGCGCTGTATTTCTTTCACTTGCAACAAACAAAAACGTTCAACATTATATTGAGTTCTCAAGTGAAATTTTATTTCATTATTTTCACTCAAATTTATTTCATTGTTTTTATTCAAATTTATTTCATTATTTTCATTCAAATTTATTCATTATTTATTCACATGCATTCAAATTTATTTCAGCAGGACATCATTAGGACAGCTGATGTCACCCAACATAAGTATAAAAAAGGGTCATTTTAGGAAAATATGCTATTTAATTCTATTCGTACCGCGTACCTACGTCCCCCCAATCAATGCTATTCGTACGGTGTACCTTCGTCTCCCTTATCAATGCTATTCGTACGGCGTGCCTTCATCCCCCTATTCAATGCTATTCGTACGGCGTACCTGCATCCCCACAATCAATGCTATTCGTACGGCGTACCTTCATCCCCCTATTCAATGCTATTCGTACGGCGTACCTTCATCCCCCCTAATCAATGCTATTCGTACGGCGTACCTTCATCCCCCCTAATCAATGCTATTCGTACGGCGTACCTTCATCCTCAGGTCGGGGGTCCAGGAAAGTGATCGTGCCTACACCGTCTGTGCGGTTGACAGCTCCGGGCGGCGGTTCCCAGGGCTCGCCATTTTTCAGCCACGCATATCTGCGATAGTTCAATCGCCGTTTAGGTAGGAATAGCATTGTAAATGGCAGGATTCATCTTCAAAAATCTTACAACGTTATACATTCAGGGGCTTATATAAACCTTTGTTGGCAGTTAACGCAATTTCGGTAGGAATAGCAATGTTGAGGGCAAGATATATGTTTAAAAATCCATTATAAAGCTCGCTGATTTTCAGCCACTCATATCTGCGACAGTTGTATAGCCGTTTAGGTAGGAATAGCATTATAGGCGGCAGAATCCAATCAAAAAAAGAAAATAACTACTTAACTTCTTATAAAGAAGTTTGTTGTTAGTTTACTACAATCATGAACACAGTTTAGGTAGGAATAAATATGATAATTACCATGAAGCCTGAAACTCTATATATATAATAATTTCAATACTGTTATGGTAATATTCAGTGATTTTGAATTAAGTGAAATCGTAAACCTGCAATTATTATCATATTTATAGAGTTCGAGGGAGCTTCATTGCAATTTTCGACTGACATCTGTCAATTAGGTTATTTAGGAATAATTGAGCCTATTATTTCTATTCTTAATTGAAACTAGCGGTTAATGTGGCTATATCACGCCACAGTGGCAAGGGCAGGAGGACTGTGGCAGTAAGCAGCAAAATTGCCAACGCTGTAATTGCCGACAATTGCATGATTGCAGATAATGCGTGCGTGACGTCATGCGTGCTGCATGAGTGCGTGACATGTACGTCACAATTCATGTGTTGTGTTGTGGTCTGCATAATAAGTGCATATTCTTTGCCAGTCAGAAAAATGAATGAGTAATATTGTTCAAATAGTGATATCCTCTTTATTTCAATACTTCTCTTCAACTTCTCTTCTTGTTTGTTTGTCTGTCTGCTACAAATATTAGGATCAATATTTAACACACTTCTACCTTTCCAATCGTCCTGAAATTTTGCACACTTGCGTAAAGTTGGAGACAACGCATGAATCTATTGACAGAATAAATAATTTGGAAATTTTAAAAATTTTTATATAAAAAAATTACAATTGTTTTTTTAACATTTGAAAATAAAATTATAAATTCATTGTACATGTGCATCATCGGTGACACTGGATTCTTTAGAAGTGTATTCTTTGAAAAGTATTTTTTAAACGCACATTATTGCACTTAGGACTGTAACGCCCTTTTGCTGCGCCAAAGTGGGTCAGGATGACCCACATAACTGAAAAAAGTGACAAGGTATCGATTTCTGGACAAGGGCTTTTCATTTTTCTGATTGAACGGAAAAGCGTTTTCATTGAATTCCAGCGTGCGTAATAAATTCAAAAATTCATTCATTGTAAAAAGCCTAAAATTCTTCACTCACTGCGGGGTTGGGATGCCGTCGGCGTGGCAGGGCAGGGTCAGGGGGTCGGGGTCCTTCATGGGGTCGTGGTTGACGGTGTACAGCACCTCCCCCCCCGCCGGGCCCGCCACCAGCGATGGCGGGATGCTCACTGTATAAGAGGGTTATGAAGGTTATATAGGTCATGAGGGGTCATGAGGGTCATGAGGGGTCCTGAGGGTCATGAGGGGTCATGAGGGTCATGAGGGGTCATGAGGGTCATGAGGGGTCATGAGGGTCATGAGGTTTCAAGAAGGGTCATGAGGGGTTATGAGGGTTATATAGGTCATGAGGGGTCATGAGGGTCATGAGGGTCATGAGGGGTCATGAGGGTCATGAGGGGTCATGAGGGTCATGAGGGTCATGAGGGGTCATGAGGAGTCATGAGGGTCATGAGGGTCATGAGGTTTCAAGAAGGGTCATGAGGGGTTATGAGGGTTATATAGGTCATGAGGGGTCATGAGGGTCATGAGGGGTCCTGAGGGTCATGAGGAGTCCAGAAGGTCATATAGGTTATGAGGGGCCCTGTGTGACATAAGGGCTATTAGAATCATGAGGGGTCATGACGATCATTGTAGGCCACGAGGGGTTATGAGGGGTCATGAGGGGTCTTGAGGTTCATATAGGTCATGAGAGGTCATGAGGGGTCATGAGGGTTACTTAGGTCATGAGGGGTCTTGAGGTTCATATAGGTCATGGGGGTCACGAGGGTCAAGAGGGGTCATGAGGATTCTAGCACAATATTAAATTATATAAAATCAATACAATAAGTTCAGTCAGGCACGGTTTACTGTGGGGAATAGCTCATCATAATAGATGTTGCTTATCACATTACATAATGTTTATCATGATATATATTGCTTATCATAATATATATTGCTTATCATTATTGATATTGCTTATCCTTATATATATTGCTTATCATAATAGATATTGCTTATTATGATCGATATTGCTGATCATTTTAGATATTTTTTTATCATAACAGATATTGCTTATCATAAATAACAAATATATCTAACTTGACATAGAGCTCTACATTTTACTTCATCTTTATTCAAGGTAAGAAAAGCCGATCTGAAATTCAAGTTAAAAAAATTAAAACGTTTTGAGTGGAGTTTGATTAATTCAATTTTCTTATACAGGAAATATTATGAGGAAATTAAGAATGAATTATAAGGAAATATTAGAAATATTTTAGAAGTACGAAGGGAATTGGAATAAAATATCAGAAGTAAGGAAAGAATTAGGAAGAAATATTATGAATATTATAGGGAAATAAGGCATTTGGAGGAACTATTAACAATATTAGAAGTCCAGAAAAGATTATAAGGAAATGATCAAGAAAGTTTGTGCTGAAGTCTCACCTTCGAGCTTCTCGAAGACTGGCGGGGCAGGGAGGGAGGGGGCAGGGAGGGAAGCTTTTGTTAGTCCTCAAAATTAATTCAAATTCTATACCGAACTAATTTTTTGGCAAACATTCAAGGTTACGGCAAAAAAACTTTTATGTTCCTAAAGTTCTCAATTACAGAAAAAGTTAACGGGGGAATGAATTTCTGTGAATCCTGAATCAACGGAAATTTTTACCCTAACCAAGGACTAACAAGTTTTTGATCCCTGAGCTGAATCGAATTTAAAATTTTTTACCATGAACTAATAAAGAAGGTTATTTAACAATTTATTTAGTATTGAAGAAATTTTGGTCCTCAATTGATCCGGCATAGAAAATTTTCTTAACCCTTGACCAAGGGCTGAAAAGTTTTTTATCCCTGACGCGGGAATTTAATTTTTTTTTATCATGACTCGGGTTCAAATTGTATGGAATTACCGACCCTAAATCCCGGACTAAAAGTTTATGGAATCTTGAACCGAGACCGACATTTATTTGATTGCGCAAGCATTCGTGAGTTTCAACACACGAAGCGTTGTGAATTTTAATCAATTTTGCACGTTAGTGAAATGTGTGTGAAAATCTCACGCTTGAGAAAAAAATTATTTTGAAAATATACAATATATTGCCACGCTTAAAATAAAAATATTTTTAGAATGTATAAAATAGAAAAAAAGGCTAACAGTAAATTTTCCTATTGTCAATTGTATTAGCTGAATCATTTTTAATTACATTAATATCTTTCGAAAGTGAATGAAATTCATTGGTAAGCTTGTACGTTGCAAGCAACGTTTAAACTCAAAACAAGTATGCCCAATCATTCGCAATGGTTGAGATCTTTCATTCGATCCAGATAAAATAAACAAGCTAATGCGTTATTAGTACACAAACATGTTTCATACATACATTATTAGTATTGCAGTTGTTACATACAAAAACAAGACGGCAACAATAAATAATTCATTATAAAAATATTTGGAAAATATAAATTTTTTGGGATAGCTCACCGACAGCGATGGCAGGCCTGGGCAGAACAACTACCAGCAGAAGCACCAGCAGGCGTAGAGTTCCTCTCGTTCTATCTTTACTGAAGAACATTTCGCTTAAATCCTTCTTAAACGTGTTCTTCACTTCCTTCTTACTTCCACATTCACCTCTACTTCCATTTCTTTTTCCTCCTTCACAATCCAGGTTGTTGCAATTTTCTCCTTTTTCACCATCCCGTCTTTTCTCATCGTTATCTTCAAATTTTTTTCTTCTAGCTTCACGATCTATGACAGCCAAGTTGACACGATCGCTTTGAAGTGATGAACAAATTTCATTTATTTCGGAGTCACTTTTTCTAATCTTTTTACAGCGACTTGAAATATTTTCTCTGAATTTTTCATTCATTGTTTCTTTGTTTGGATTTCTTCGGTAGTTGTCCATGTTGACTAAATTTCCTTCACTGTTCCTGTTTAGATCATCATTCAACATATGACCGCCGATGTTTCCTGTTACCAATCCACTGTTAATGGTAACAGGTAAGCTGCTGTTGTTATTGCAGCTGTTGTTGTTGTTATCGCAGCTGTTATCTACGTTGTTATTACTGTTATTTTCTAAGTGGGAGACATTTTCCGTCGTACGGAGGATCGCCATGACGAAATGTTCTTCGTCAGTCCCAACCTTCCTGCAAATAAATAAACAAGTGAGAAAAAGTAAAAATTTATTTCTTCCATCACTCAAAAAAATTACCGGGCCATATTGTCCACATCATGACACACGTAGCTCTGATACACTCTTTTGAAGTACAAAACCCTGTCAGGATTACCCATAAAAGGGTAATCCCATTGGGTATGGGTATGGGTAATTACCCATAACCCATAAAAGAGGAAAAAATACATCGCGAATTGGACAAAGTCCAACTCATTTCTTTGAGTAAAGGGATCGCAATCGAGATTCTTAACAGAAACTGCGGGAACACTTGTGATAAATTAAGAAAAAAAAATATCTGGCAATAAATATTTTTCATAAATAAAACCGCTTTTCTAACAGCTGGTTCGTTGTAGACTGGAAAAAGACACTATGTAGATTACGTTAACTTTGAAATTTAATTTGTAATGTACCAGAGTAATAGATAAAATGCAACTACATAACTACATTATTCTCACAGACACGTTGATTGCAAAAAAAATTATTCTCAAACAAATTGTCTATAACTAATCATAAAACATATCAAGCAAAAGAGAATAAATCGAATGGAAGATTCCGAATCCATATAATGAGGATGAAGAATTTTGAAGAACATAGAATTGACAACGAGTTTCGAGAACAAACATTAATATGAGTAATAATACAATATAGTATCCTTATATATCGATATATATATATAAATAATAATTTTGAAACGGAAAATGACTCTGAAAACAATCTCGAAATACAGTAACAGTAAACAGTAAATAAAGGGTAAATATATCGTACATTAACAGTAAATATAAAATAAATACCGTGTATAAAGGCAGACCTAATAATACAAACTTAAATTATTAAATAAAAAATAGACAACAAACATGTCGCGGGTGTTGCACGTAACGGGCATAGCGCATCGGAGGGGTTGCATGGGGGGGGTTGTTCGTACGGAGGGGGGGAGGGGTAGATGACCTTGTGTTCAATGCAATCAATGTGAGAGCGGGAGAGAGGGGGAATGGGGAGGAAAAAGAGAGGGAGGGGCGGGGGAGAGAAAGAGAGGGAGTGGCGGGGGAGAGAAAAGAAGGAGGGAGAGGGGAGAAAAAGAGAGGGAGGGAGAGGGGAGAAAAAGAGAGGGAGGGAGAGGGGAGAAAAAGAGAGGGAGGGAGAGGGGAGAAAAAGAGAGGTAGAGCGAAGAGAAAAGAGGGAGGGAGAAGAGAGAAATAGAGAGGGACATAGGAGAGAAAGAGAGTGAAGGAGAGGGGAAAAGTACCAGTGAGGCAAGTGACGACAAATGAAGTTGTAAAAAATGTTTAAAAATCTCACGGAAAAAGAATTCGAAAATGGAAAGTAGATGAATTCGAACAATTATCGAGTATAGACAAGTAATGTATGACGAAATTACACGAAATAAATCATTATATTAAATAAAATATAAGTCGAAGTAAAGAAAAGCTTGTTATACAAATAAGAATATAGATAAAAAAAACTAGAAATACAAGCGAAAATAGACACACACAAAAATTGTGACAAGAAAGGTCAAAGTTAATTAGTAGCGAAGCTCTAATGAGAAGAACAAATAAATCAAATTAATTTTAATTCAAAAAATCAATTTGGAATTTAAACAAAGAAAATGAACACTGAAAATTGAAAATGAATAAATATTGTAATGTATTTAAGGTGCGCCTGATCTCACCGGCTGGCAATGAATAATATAATATTGTTAGAGTATTGATAATAAGTATTGATGAAGGATGAATAATATATGACTAGATTAAAAGAATCTAATATAGAACGATTTATTCTAAATTATACTTAATAATCTACAGATATTTTTGGTATTCAATATTATAAAGAAAATCGAAGTCATGCTCACTACACGTAGAGTTATTTGTGTAGAGAATATGTTTCTGTATTTATTTGTGTTGTGTTAGTGTCTGAGTTTGTGTAGAATTTTAGACGGGAGTTACTTGAGCATGCAGAATCTGTGTGTGCATTTCACGCAGAATGTTTTTTGTATTTGTTAATGCAGAATTTTCTTCTTCATCTTTTGATTTCCTTACATCAGCACCAACATTCAGAAAATACAGATTTATTCTTAATAAACTCCCGCATCTCATACAGTGATGTATGAGAAAAAACATTATAAGAAAAATGTATGTGTCATAATGTCCGAATAGTGACGCATTTACTGCACGTAGCACTGATACGGCTTTTCGTTTGGCCAAACTTGTTTAGGATGACCCACTCGAGAGCAACAAGTGAATCACTGCTAAGTCTCTCTATTTTTTTGAGTGTATAACAAAATTCAATGCGTAACCACGATTCACGTACGTTTGAGTGTAAGCAATGAACGCTATTGCATTCTGCTCACACTATGAGCAAAGTTTCTGCAAATCGACAAACCAATTTAGCAAAATCCAGCACGAAATTTTCTATAACCACCACCCAAAATTCTATAAAAACCTACACAGAAATTATCTAAACGAACACAAAATTCCGTTATACCAGAAGTGAGAACACAAATTTAATGAACCCAAAGCGTGGAATTTGGAAAACGAACAAAAGAATTCACGTGAAATCTGTAAAAAAAATATTTCCATGACTGTAGCTGAGCTGAGGTTGCAGTTTGTAACTAATAACAAACTTAAGTATAAAATAACCGTAGTTTTCTTATAATATTAAAACTAAATAAATGTGTCGTTGATTAATCGTTCAACTCAACATCATGCGATAGCTGCATAAAACTTCATTAAAAATTTTGATTTTTTAGCCTCAGATTTTACCTTAGAAGTTGAAACAGATGAACTTAAATTCCTCCTCTCCATTTTTAGCGCATTTTCTCATTTATGGAAAAAATGCCCCATTGCGCTCGTCATGTCCGTCCGTCCGTCTGTCCGTCCGTCCGTGACTTCACGTTATCGTCGACGAGAAAATGCGCTCTCTGTCACTCACTGCAGTGAGTACTGAGTTATATTTTTTCAGTTCGTAATCGCCTGAATTTTACCTTCATGTAATCATCTATAATCATCAGTCTGTAATCTTTATATCTTTCATGTGATAATTTGAGACGATTATATGCAAGTGATTTCAGTTGATGACCTACAGATGATTTGAAATGATTACCTTCAAGTGATTATTTTCATCCAATTACCGAAACTGTGTGTGCACTTTGCAAGGCCTTCATCTTTATTTATCATTTGGCCAGTAAGAAGCATGGATGACGGCAAAATGAAAATTTAAAGACAATTCCCTTCCTTCAATACACAAAATAGAAATTAGTTGTTTCTGGAAGCCAACAATCCAGTTAGCTACACTTGAGCCTCAGCCTCAGTCCACAACGGCATTAAAAAAGGAAAACAAAAGCGTCAATAGCAGCGATAAGAACAGGGGAACAAGCAACACGCGTGCGTCAACAGCAGCGATAAGAACAGAAGAACAAGCTGCACACGTGCGTCAACAGCAGCTATAAGAACAAGAGAACAAGCAGCACGCGTGCGTCAACAGCAGCTATAAGAACAAGAGAACAAGCAGCACCCGTGCGTCAATAGCAGCAATAAGAACAGGGGAACAAGCAACACGCGTGCGTCAACAGCAGCTATATGAACAGCAACGATAAGAACGAATACATCACATCTAAAGCAATCGGCATTTGCATGAATTACAGACAAACTTATTGTTGAATAGCAGCGTGGTAATGCTGTTAAGGTGTTGAATTAGATTATAAAGATTGTAAAGAAATAGCGAAGAGATGCTGTTAAAGAGTAATATCAAGTAATATTGGAAAGGAAGGGAAAAATAATTTGGTTGAAATCGAGTTATTTTTGTCAGAAACCGTTTACTTTTAAACTCTTCCTGCCGAAGGAGCATTTATTATGGTTCTAGACGTTGATTGCAATACAGGACATATATGAGCATGATTGATCACAAAGAATATCTGAACTTCCCATGCAAAATTCGATTACCGACAAATCATAGGTCGAAGAGTCGCAACACTCGGCTTGGTCTGCTAGGCCACCCGATTAAAATCAGCTTTTGGTCAGAATCTACTCTCTAACTTAATAGTCGCCTAAGAGTATGACAAGTGTGTCTCGTGAGTATGAAAAGCAGGTTCTGAGAGTATGACAAGTATATCGTGAGTGTATATAATAAGGGTAGATCTGTCCAAGTCATGCAGAGCTTACAAACTGGCCAGCGCTGCCCTTCAAACCCTGAGCTGAGGCGGACATTAGCGGCTGATTTACGGGCTTCTCGAGTCCTAGGCGGTATCTATTTCAGAGTCTGGACAGCATCTAAATTCTGTTTGGACGTATCCAAACTTGTGGCCGCATCTAACTCACCAAATTCTTTAGAGAAGTTTACATTGTGCGACTATAGTTCTTGATCTCATCGTAACGAGACTGCATATATTAAATTATACTCGCAACAGCACCGATGAAAACTATCCAAGTCGAATAAAGGCACGAGTCCAAAAATGCCTGTCGCGAGCACAGGAAAAGCCTCGACAAAAGTTTTAAGGGCACACGATGATAGTGACGATGATATAATAGAGTTTTATAGTTACACAATGATAATGGCGATGATGTAAGACGTGGGGTTCACAACAAGGGAACAGCAGATGAGGCAAGGGAAGTGACGGGGAGGGCGGGGCTGCTGTGAGGAAGCAACCACTTTATGGGGACGTCGGATCAGCGTCTGTCATGCCACGACGCTCCCTAGAAACGAGGGGGAATGAAGTGGGGATGTGGGAGAATGAGATGGGGATGTGGAGGAATGAGGTGGGGATTTGGGGGAGTGATTGGAAGAATGAGGTGGGGATGTGGGGGAATGAGGTGGGGATATGGAAGAATGAGGTGAGGACGTGGGGGAATGAGGTGGGGATGAAGGGGGAATGAGAGAGGGATGCGGAGGAATGAGGTGGGGATGTGAGGAATGAGATATGGAATGAAGTAGTTAGGTGTAAACTAACAATGTTAAATCATAAAAAGGCACCATCACATTAAA